GACCATTCAATGCCTACCTGCAACTGCAACCATCCCAGCTTGCCCTTTCTGCCAAATCGTGTGGATGCATCTTTCGACCCTACCACTCCTCCACTCTTTCCCATTTCCAAGCTCCCAAATTTCTTTTTAATTTTCCCCCGCTAAAATTATACTCTTATTACATTGATTGAACCCGATTATTATGGTGTTCATAGGGCTGGCACAGTGTGTACGAGAACGTGCTTATAAGACACTCAACTATCGGATCACGAGTGTTGGACGCGCGGTGATATTTTACTTAGCAAATATATATCGCGTGTCCATCCAACAGGTAACAGAGCGTCCAGTGTTGCTATAACCGCGAGTCGCGCGTGCGCCCCTCTGTGCATTGTTCTCGCGAATTTGGTACGTAGACCGCAGTGAGCAATTTTTATTAGCAAAATGCATATGTAGCAGCTCACCTGATAGCAGGTTGGAATTGGACGGGGGAGTCGCGAGAGAAATGTGAGATATGGAGATGCGCGGATCGATAGAAGTTTTAGTGACTATTGTATATGGAGGGAGCGAATGATCAATTTGTTGTTATCGTCTATCTATCGGAGAGATGTAGTAAATGACACCCAATTTGGTATATTATGGAGAGAACTGAAATTCGATGGTAGCTTAGTTATACTAATTACTAATTAGTACAGCAAGTACGGTTTAGTTACCGTTTAGGTTTACAACTTACAAGAGAGAGAGAGAGAGAGAGAGAGAGAGAGAGAGAGAGAGAGAGAGAGAGAGAGAGAGAGAAGTATTGCGGTCATAAGGAGCAGGTGAAAAAGAGCAGTGGAAAAAGATCGATGGAGGACACAAGGAATCTGGGAATCCCCCCCTGGAAGCCGTCAGGTTTTAGCGAGAAATATGAAGCATGCGACCTGTTGAGCTAAGCTAGGAAGCCCAATCTGAAACGAAAGATAACTCACAGTAGAAGAAATCTTTTGCCTTTTTGGCACGATGTGATATTTGAGTGATGACTGCCACCTTCATTTCCCCAACCAACCAAAAACAAAAAAACCATTTTATTAATTTCCTCCCTTTCATTTTCCACCACTTTCCGTTTCATCAGAAGATCACTGTTTGAGTTTGACCCTTGCGTTGAGTTGGTGATAACTAGGCAAAAGCGCGAGTCCTCCTTCCTTTCGTCTTATTCGGTTATTCCCTTCCTTCCTTCGTCTTCTAATAATTCACTGTGCATGGGGCTCCAGCTCCACGTAAACGCAATCCTCACTTCCCCTTCCTCCACTCTTCTTTTTCATCCTCCAAGACCAGAGTTGAATTCTAGTCCCCTCTCTCAATCTGAATCTAGTAATTAACAGACATAAAATAATTCCAAAGGAATGATTTGATGACGTTTCTTTTTAAAATCAATAGTCGTCTTGCTCGGTGCAAATATATGGCTCATAAAAATTTCGTGAAGAAGAAATGTGGAGTCGATCTTTTCGATGCTTGAATTATACATACATGATGAATTCTAAAGATGTCAATCATGCATGTAACACATTCTGACTTGAGATTTTATTCTTGAGTTATGACCAGCGGCGGATCTTTGATCCGGAGTCAGTATAGCCTTTGTAGATTTCCAGATTTAAAATATTCGTTTATGTTCTCGTCGGGTTACGGTCCAGTCCTCGCTCTGTCTGTTTTTCAAATGTGCCTCAGTGCTCTACCCTATATCCTGTAATCCGCCGCGGGTTATGACACGAAAGAACATGCACAAAACGTGAAAATGTGTATAGGTCGTTCGTAAGGTTGTCTGTTGAATTAATGGAGCTATATGATCAGCATCCCAACAAGAAATACAAATGTTTATCCATGGTTTCAGTTTTGGTAACTGGATTATTTGTTGATTACAACAAGAACCAAACATTTGATATAGTAACTAGTAAGTAAATGGAATGAGGAATTTGTGTCGGTCCATGCTATACACAAGTAACAGCTACGATTCCTTTTTGGTTTGATCTAATGATACCTTGTAATTAATTACTACGTAGCCCAACAACAACAACCACCACCACAAATACATCATGAATTCAAGAAGCTGCCTCAACGTCTCATTTCATTCTATACCCCAAGAGACAACATGAATTCAAAGCCTTCATTGAGCTCCTAAGTTGGCTGTCTGGTCAAGGAATTGAGTGAATCTCAAACTTCATGAATTGCAGTGTTCAGACATTTATGATTAATTATGATCATTTTAATTATGGTCCATGTCAATTATTGTTCAACTTGAACAGTTGGTCATCGGTTAATTTTATCAGAGGAGAAATCATCATATTTCAATTTTCTTGAAACGATTCCTTGGTAAGGAATTAAGGCCGTTTCTCATCAACATGCATGCTGCTCGATCGACTGACTGCGCTCGCATGAGATCCAAAAGGGAAAAAGTGGTGGCCGAAAGGAAAGCCCACAAAGACAGACAGACAGACAGACAAGCAAAGCAGCAACGCATGCCGCGCGCCAGACCAGACCAGCCGATCGACGACCTGCCAATCAATCTTCTCATCAAACGTTCTTCTTGTGCTCCTTTTACCCTCTTACACACAACAACAACAACAACGAGGATTGGGTCACGGTTAACTCGAATTGTTCGTTGATTCTATTTGATGTAACACATAACCGTTGGGGGTGTGATTCGAGAATGGAAGAGTCGCTTATCATTGAGAGCTTATTGCCCAAAAAGAACCAAGTAGTTGTTCTCCAACTGATATGACAATTTCGGATATTGGATGATTGATCGATCCAACTAGACTCTACAACAACAATACAACTCTTGATACCGTCAAATAATCAACCATATTACACCAACATGCTAGCCTCGTTCTCCCGTTCCATGATCTCATCCAAATGAACTGATATATGTTAGGATTTTTCATACTTATAAAAGAGAGGAAGTTTTAGTCGATTATCTTATGCTCTTTTTTTTTTTTTTTTTGTGGTAGAAAGACAGACACCAATGGTGTCTAAATGATATTCCTAATTAAATGTTCTTGGGTAATACCCAAAACATCAAAAGAAATCCAGTGACTAAGCCCTGGATCGAACACATCAATTGGATGTGATCCAAAAGAAAGGGAGTGACCCAAGTTAGCCAAAAAATCAGCAGCACAGTTGCACTCCCTATACACATGTTTGATTTGAAACTCCCAATTAAGAGAGAGCAATCTATTAGTTATCATTCTGGTCCATATTAACATGATTTTAACGTAAGTTATTGGTTTTTAACGACAACATCAGTAATTATGAGCAATTGTAAAAAAAAAAAACACAATCACGCCTAAAACAAGGAAAATCATATGGTGTAAAATCCAAACCCGCAAAACGTACAAAATTCTTTATCTTACCACTTCTGGTATGAATCAGGCAATCTTTATTCATACTAGAGATGGTAAATATGGGTTTTGTAGGTTTTTTTTATGTTTTTTTAGGGTACTAACCACTCCTAAAATAATGAAGCCCAGAAAGAAGTAAAATAACGAGGGAAAACTCCAAATTAGGCCGTTTGATTAAACCGACAGCTCTCTCTATCTATCTTTCACGGCTCAAAACCAAAAAGAGAAGAAATCAAAAGCCAAAGTAGGCATCTCTTTGATAGATATGCTCGACAGTTGTCGCAGGCAGCTACCAATCCATTCATTATTCGGCAGCACATTAATTACAGTACTACTACTGCCACTTTCCGTTGCTTAATTCCTTCTAATCTCCTTAATCCATTTCTAATTATCGAAAGCTACAAAGAAAAAAGGGGGTCCCTAGGCCATAGCACCCCCTAATCATGTCATTAAGAGGTTTATTTTCTGTTATATATTACTAAGCCTTTTGATCAACATAGATCAATTAACAGAAAGCTATTTAACTATATATATGCTCTAACTAAAACTAAATAACTTCATATTATATTACAGTCAAGAGTCATGGGTCATGAGTTGATGATGATCCCCATCCATTGAAAAACAAACTAAAGCATGCCCCATCACTCATTTTCTTGGTTAACAACAACAATGTATAATTTACAAAATATTTATACAAAAATTATTTAATATTATACTAGTGTTTTTAGTTTGTTTATTTTGGTGAAAGAAGAAAGAGCGTTTGCATGTATTTCATCCTAGAAGAGTTATAAATCAAAGTATTGACGGTGTATGTTAGTAAAAAGAATATCGCAAGATGATTGTTCGTGTTCACGTTAGTAGAGATGTTGATTATCTCTCCTTTTCGCTTAACACATTTGTTCAGGAAGGAATTATAATACTGAGAATGAAGAAGATCATTATAAGATTATGAAGATGAGTAATATATGACATAAAAATGATTTGTAAGTAGTCGATCTAGCAAATTACCCTAACTTGATATGTTGGCATGTCTCGGTATGTTTTTTCAGATCATACTTGAAGAATTATCCCATGGACCTCAACCACAAGAGGCAAACTACTCTTACAATTAAGCATTTGGAATCCTATTCCTCTATGGGGCGTACAATTAATCTCTGCAAAATTTACACTTCTCTCCATATTATAAAAGATACTGCTGGCGAAATTTTGTCGTTTTTTCCCCACCGCTTGTCTTAATAAAATTTTGTCGTGTATAGTTACATGTCATAAAACAACATCAGCCATCTGCTTACAGAGCGACAACACACCTGGCAGACGCATCATGTAGCCATGAAAAAACAATGTGTAATGTATTCCACTTGTCACCTGATTTGGAGTGAAAATAATTACTTATATTGATTCTAAATCCAATTTCCTTTACTAGTACATAGCAATTATATCCAACTTGTTGTGAAAAAGTTGCGGAGTATGTTCCGTTACTAGTATCCTACCGTATGTCGTTGGAAAGTTTTGTCGTGTATTATTACACAACAACAAAATAGTATAATTAAGTAGATAGACGATCATAAAACACATTAACAAACACTGGATAATCAAATCAGAAGATCACGAAGATAATGTGTATGTGAAAAATAGTTAAATCTTGTTCATGAATCGTTCTACATTTACATTCCCAAAAACGATAGGTGTGAAAAACAACCTAGAAAACACTAATCAACATCGTTAATCCGGAATGGATTTTGCTTCTTCTTTTCTTCGTCTTCTTCACCTTCTTTGTCTTGGACTGTGGAGCATGGAGTTGACACCATGATAGCAATAAATTCATTCATCACTCTCTCTCTCTGGTAAATTACAACAATGAAAGATAATTATAAATCTCCCCAACTGTCACTCTCCCTTTCCCTTCTCATATTTGAACCACCGCCCCCTCCACCACCAGCACACCATTTCTCATCCTCTTCTTCTTCCCCCACCTCTCCAATGGCGTGACTCAGTACTCAGTAGTAACTCCTCAACTACTCCAAAATCCAAAACCCCTCTCTCCGGCCACCGCCCCAGCAAAATAATGCTTCTCTTCGTCTTCCTCCTCCTCTTCTTCCCTTCCTTCTCCTTTTCTCTGAACCAGGAAGGCCTCTACCTCTACCAGCTGAAGCTCTCCCTCTCCGACCCAGACTCCAATCTCGCCTCCTGGTCCGACCGCGATGACAACCCTTGCTCCTGGCCCCGGGTCAATTGCGACCCGACAACCCGCTCCGTCACCTCCGTCGACCTCTCCGACTCCAACCTCGCCGGCCCTTTCCCTTCCGTCCTCTGCCGCCTCCGCAACCTCACTTCCATCTCCTTCTACAACAACTCCATCAACGACACTCTGCCCCTCGACATTTCCTCCTGCCAGTCCCTTACCCACCTCGATCTCGCCCAGAATCTCCTCACCGGCACGCTCCCTGCAACTTTACCGGAAATCCCCAATCTCCAGTACCTCGACCTCACCGGGAACAACTTCTCCGGGTCGATTCCGCCTTCCTACGGGAGGTTCCAGAAGCTCGAGGTTTTCTCCGTCGTGTATAATCTCCTCGACGGAATCGTCCCACCCTTTTTGGGCAACGTTTCTACTCTGAAGATGCTGAATCTGTCCTACAACCCGTTTTCCCCAGGTCGGATCCCGCCGGAGTTCGGGAACTTGACTGATTTGGAGATACTCTGGATGACGGAATGTAATTTGGTCGGGGAAATTCCTTCCTCTCTCGGCCGGTTGAAGAAGCTGACCGATTTGGACCTGGCGATTAATGATTTGGTCGGCGGGATTCCGAGTTCGCTCGCCGGGTTGAGCAGCTTGGTTCAGTTGGAGCTCTACAACAATTCGTTGACTGGGGAGCTACCGGCGGGGATGGGGAATATGACGGCGCTGCGTCTCCTCGACGCGTCGATGAACCGTCTGACCGGTTCGATTCCGGAGGATTTGTGTCGGTTGCCGTTGGAGAGTCTCAATCTCTACGAGAACGGATTCGAAGGTAACTTACCGGCGAGCATTTCTTTTTCCCCAAATTTGTACGAGCTCCGGCTGTTCGGCAACAAATTAACCGGCGATTTGCCTCAAAATCTCGGGAAAAACTCGCCGTTGAGATGGCTGGACCTGTCGAATAATCAGTTCACCGGCTCACTCCCGGCTACGCTGTGCGAGAAGGGGGAGCTCGAAGAGCTATTGGCGATATATAATTCGCTGTCGGGTCAAATCCCGGCGAGTTTGACCCAGTGCCGCAGCTTGACCCGAATCCGATTGGGTAACAACAAATTATCCGGCGAAATACCCGCCGGGTTCTGGGGCCTGCCCCGAGTTTATCTCGTCGATCTCGTCAGCAACTCGTTCTCCGGTCAAATCGCGAAGACCATCGCCAGCGCAACGAATTTGTCGATGCTGATTCTGGATAAGAACGGGTTCAACGGTTCAATCCCGGAGGAAATCGGTTGGGTCGGGAGTCTGGTTGAGTTCTCCGCCAGTGAGAATCGGTTCACTGGTCCGCTCCCCGGAAGCGTAGTGAATCTGAAGCAATTGGGGACTTTGGATCTCCACGACAATCTTCTCTCCGGCGAGCTCCCGGCTGGGATTGATTCATGGAAGAAGCTAAACGAGTTGAATCTTGCCAGAAACCAGTTCTCCGGGGATATCCCCGACTCTATAGGTAAGCTCTCTGTTCTCAATTATCTCGATTTGTCCGGCAACCAGCTCTCCGGCGAAATCCCATCCGATCTCCAGAACCTGAAGCTGAACCAGCTCAATTTCTCGAACAACAAGCTCTCCGGCGAGATTCCGCCGCTCTACGCCAAAGAAAGTTATAGAAACAGCTTTCTCGGGAATCCCGGATTATGCGGCGACATTGCCGGATTGTGCCAGGGGAAACACGGCGGCGGGAGGAAAACACAGGATTACGCCTGGCTGCTCAGGTCTATGTTCATCCTCGCCGTAGTCGTCTTCCTCGTCGGAGTCGTCTGGTTCTACTTCAAGTACAAGAACATCAAATCTTCCCCCGGCGGCGGCGGCCGTTCAATCGACAAATCGAAATGGACTCTAATGTCGTTCCACAAGCTCGGATTCAGCGAGTACGAGATCCTCGACGCGCTCGACGACGACAACGTGATTGGGAGCGGGTCTTCGGGTAGGGTTTACAAGGTCGTGCTCAGCAACGGCGAGGCAGTTGCCGTGAAGAAGCTCTGGGGCGGTGGAGCCAAGAAGGGAATTGGCGGTGATGTGGAGAAAGGGGAGAGTGATAACAAGGACGATGATGGGTTCGATGCCGAAGTGAAGACGTTGGGCAAGATTCGGCATAAGAACATAGTGAAGTTATGGTGCTGTTGCGTCACTAGAGACTGCAAACTTCTGGTTTACGAGTACATGCCGAATGGCAGCTTGGGCGACCTGCTGCACAGCAGCAAGCGAGGGTTGCTCGACTGGCCGACGAGGTTTAGGATCATCCTGGATGCGGCGGAGGGCATTTCGTATCTGCATCACGATTGTGTGCCGCCGATTGTTCACAGAGATGTCAAGTCCAACAACATTTTGCTTGATAGTGAGTTCGGAGCCAGAGTGGCCGATTTCGGAGTGGCCAAGGTTGTGGATTCCCCCATGGGCAAACCCAAGTCTATGTCTGTCATTGCAGGTTCCTGTGGCTACATTGCTCCAGGTTGGTAAAATCTTTGATCCCCACATTACTTATGCATTCTAATTTGTGCTACTGTGTTCTTACTTTTGAATGTTTTGTGTATTTTAGAGTATGCTTACACATTGAGGGTGAACGAGAAGAGCGACATATACAGCTTCGGGGTCGTGGTCCTGGAGCTGGTGACCGGGAGGCTACCGGTGGACCCCGAGTTCGGGGAGAAAGACCTGGCGAAGTGGGTACGAACCACGATCGACCAGAAAGGGGTCGACCAAGTTCTGGACTCGAAACTGGATTCGTGTTTCAGGGAGGAGATATGCAGAGTTCTCAACATTGGGATCCTCTGCACGAGCCATCTCCCCATCAACCGGCCCTCGATGAGGAGGATTGTGAAGCAGCTGCAGGAGATCGGGGGAGAAGCTCAGTCGAAGACGACGGGGAAGAAAGATGGCAAGCTGACGCCGTACTACTACGAGGACGCCTCGGATCAAGGGAGTGTAGCATGATTTTGGGAAGAGATGGTTACTGATGGAGTTTGATTGAGAGAGCCCTAGTTTGTTTTTTTGCACTGTGGGTTTGGTTTGGGGGAAAGTGAGTGATTCTATGGTGGTGGATTCTGTACAGTGGTGGTGAGTTGTAATGTGGAAGTTTGAGTTCTACAGTGTTCAAGTTAAAAAAAGAGTTGAGATTCAAGAACCCACCATGGCTGCAGATTTTTTTTCTTTTTACCCTATTGGTGGTGGGATACAGAAGGGTTAAATGTACTGGTAGTCTGGGGATACCTTAGCTGGGTGATTTGATTTCCCCTGTCGATTCATTCCTAGAATGAAAATTGTCAGGTTAGTTTTCAATTGATAGTATCCATCCTATGTTTTCAGGTGGGGGGTAAGTAAATTCTGCTTTTATGGTAAATAGTAATTTCTAGAGTTGTAGCTTGTAATGTATGATTTATGTCAAAGAAATATTGATCTCTCTTTTGGCGTGAGCAAGTCGTATCGCCTAACGAACGCTGGAAGATGGAGTGGTAACGTAGAACGACTAAGCTGACGTGTCGAATTGTCGATAGCTCGACTAGTCGAGACCAGCCAATCTAGCGTGAGTAAGTCGCACCTCCCCGGACAATCGACAGAGGATCGGACTCGTGGCCCTGTCACCGGGAAGTAACCGGAGAAGAGAGGAAGGTTGGAGGATGCCATGAGCAGCAGGGTGAAATGAAAATGAAATAGCAAGTAGGTACTGTACTGGTGTGGCCTGTGGTTGAGTCGGCTGCTGGCTGGCTGCTGCTGGAATTTATTTACGCGGGGCATGAGTGGGCCATTGAGTCCATAAATGAGAGTGGGCCAGGGGGGAAAGGGCTGGTCCTGAATATCTTGAACTTTTTAAAGTGGGTGAAAGGGCCTTCTCTGGATAGGCCCACGCTTGTCTCACTCTTCTCTGCTAGTTTACTGTTGGCCCAGATGAATCGGTTGCCATCAACATCATAACTTCTAACAATGACAACATTCATGAATCTAAAAGGGTGTTATTTGCTTATCACTTGCTTCATGGATTTGAAAAATGAGGGTTTTGGTAAAACTTGGGTTTTGGAAAACCATGGATATATGATGGATTGTGTGGTATTATGGATTTGAACAAGTCTATTGTTTGCTTGATGGATTTGATTATGAACTTTGTTTGATTAGATTTGTGGATATTAAATACAAATTACTTTGTTATCCTTATTTAATTATATTTCTATATTATAATCCAAATCTTTCATTTAAAACTAATCCAAAACATAGAAAGAAATTTTAAACTCTTTACCACTATGTGGATTAATAATTCAACTACAAATATAGAAATGTATTACAATTTGGCACTAATTAACAATTCATCTAATAATGTACGCATTATTATGTATCAATTGCAACCAATTGCTCGCTTTATTGCTACAACTCATCATCTTCTTGCTAACTCACCGATGTGGAATCCGACAGTCAATCAAATAATAATGCACAAGATGAGCATAAAGTGTTTTTAGGTGAATCTAACAAATCACATATACATTCATATTTAAATAAAATACGATATTACAAAACGAAATGATAAATTCTCATATTTATAAAATACGAAATTATAAAAGTTTATAGTTGCATGACCATTGAATTAAAGTAGGAAAAATTTATTAAAGAAATAATTAAGGGTAGAATGGTAATTTACCATCATGGATTTTAATCCATCACCCAAATCCCACCTCAAGAGGTGGAACTTCAAAGTCCGTGGGGTACACGGATTTGGAACCCCAAAAGAGGTGGGCCCCACAAATTCCATCTTCCTAATTCCCTAAGGCAAACGATGGATTTCGGTTCAAGTCCATGATGGATATATTTCCATGACCAAATCCATCACCAAAACCCTCAAGCAAACAACCCGTAAGTGGCTTCCTTGCTTATTCGAAAAGTTCAAAAAATCAAGGTAGTCTTTATAATTTATACCCATTCCGTTGCCTATTTTCATCTACACATGGTTATTTCTTATTTGTCGTTCTTTTGTTATGACAATACGAGTTGACAAATTACCATAAATTAACGCAGTCATTTTAATTACGGTTTACGTTTATTATTACAACACTTGCTTGTCTGTGTTTTCCTAGCAGTCATGGTGGTAGGTATGATTTCGATAAAAAAATGGCATCTTTGTTGTCACTGCTCTTGTATTGACAGCATAGTGATACAGATACAATAAATATTAGACGTTAAATTTTATCTCAACAAACAATGACGAAAATAAATAAGTGTTAAATTTCAATGAATTCACTAGTCAATAGTCACTAGTGCATGCCCATTGAGTTTTTTTTATATTCTTTTTACGAGGTTAATGGAGTGATTTAGGTTAAGACTTTTTTGACGGAAGTATGACTACTTAACCGATAGATTCCATAGGCTTCCTCTTCACCAACTCTATATATTCAGCCAGTGTGACCTTATACTACCTTATGGTAAGCATCCACGAAAAGCAAGTTCATCAAAGTCCGTACGTAAAGAGATGGGTAATTGAAAATTGATATACGACGAAATATTGACATACACTAATCAAATCAAAGAAGCTGCAAGAGATTAATCTATCATAATGCACATAGCAATCAACATTGAGAAGTTGCTACTGAATTCAATCAAGGTTCTCAACTTAAATTGTGATAAGATATTATTTGCCGGGGGGCGGTCTACTTGTTGTCTCTCTCAGGCTAAGTCTCTCACCCCTTCCCTCCTCTTCCTCTCGCTTTCTCTCCTCACGTTGTAAATAAGCACCCAAAACCTCACTTTCGACGGTCTCCTGAGATCGATGGCCACATGGAAAAGGAAATGGAGCGACTGCGTGGAGTAACGTGAACCCCACTCACATGACAATTGGGCCTCCAAATTCAGATTCCGAGCTAAATATTAGCTGGACTTCTCGAACAAAAAACCACCACGAGTTCAAACTTTTTTATGGGCCAAGTCCCATCATAAACACTTTGTCGACCCAAAGCTTGAGTCCCAATTTAGTACCCCAAGTTTTTTTTTCTTCTTCTTCTTCTATACTCCCGAGTCCTGTCTCCCAGTGCTGCAATGGCTGAAACTTGAATTGAACATAATTTAGAGGAATTTCTGACTCCGCAACCAACATTCAAACACAAACAATCTTACCACTTAAAACTTGTAGAAAATTAAAACGTAAAGAATGATGGAAAAGGGGACAAAGAAAAGCGTGCAAAAGGGGAACGACTGAAGCCCACTCAAACATCTAAAGAGAAGCTGACCAATTTAAAAAACAACCCAAAGAATTCTTGCTCCAAGCTGAGTGTAATTTCTCAGGTAGCTTTCCAGGTTGGTTTATGAACACTACTACATTCCAAGATCTGCTTTAGCTTTCAGCTTTGCCAGAGCTATCCGCCACGCAACATCGAATCCGACTATTCCACCCCACACTTCCTTCCAAAACAATGCTGAATTTCAGGATGGAAGAGGCCACAAAACAATCATAGACTCACAATCAATCAGTCATGTCTATGTGTTGCTGCAATGTAGCCATGTATGATGACAAAACTTAATATGTTTTTATCACAAAATGTCTTACTCCATCCGACTAGGTCGAATATGAGTTAAACGAGTTGAGTCATTGTGATAACAACGCTAGAATTTAGAGAATTAGGGTTCAGGTTTTACTTGTTAGAGGTTAGGGTATAGTTTCATGTCATGTACTTATCTCACTTCAGGGTTAGATAGTGTTTCATTACAAAGGTTATATGCGATACCCTTAAATTTATCCAGACAAAGGCTAGCGTACATCTAGCTTATGCACTCACGTCTATTAGATGTAGTTCGATTTACCTAGACAAATCAGAATAATCGATTCTCATCGGGGAGTAATTAGAATAATAATAAGGGTAGGGTAGATCAAACAAGCGTAAGATAATGCTCCAAACAAATCATCAAATGTACCCAACGTCTAAATCATGTAGTCCACAAATCCGATATCAATATCTCAATTTTGTTTTATAAACAATGCAAATATGCTTGTTTGTCCCGATCATTTACAAATATATCCCCAATTTTTTACATGGAAAATGGATGTTGCTTAGCTTATTGATCTTGAATAAACCAGATATATGGCCTACAAAGTACAGACCGCAGCCCTAACACAATACACTAAACGTTTTGTAATCCTAATCCACTTAGGATTGCATCATAAACAAAGTACAAACCCAAATAAAGAGGGCTGCCAACCGTCAGCAAAACACAACCAAAAGTCACACAAATTCATAACTAATCTCACCAAACCAAGTCATCTCTCTAAATTTCAAAGCCTTCCCTATCTAATACGCCATCCAAAAGATTATTCTTCAACACCCACTTTCCAATTCAGCTTGACTACTAAATGAGATAATCAAGTTCGTACTTACATATTTTCAATGACTCCTTTTTTCTCACATTTCACACGTACCATAATCGTGAAATCAAAATTTTGACGATTAAAAAAACATAAATACTTACACATATCTCGTTTAGCATAATTGCCCCATTTCCCTCCTTTTCGACATAAGTCTTCCCCTGTTTTTTCTAAGGCTGGGAAACGATGCGGTCTGGTCCAGAACAGACCATATATACGGTCTATGGTCCAAACCGAGAGGTTGAAGTATAGACCACAGACCAGATCATAGACTATACGGTCTGGTCCAGACCACGCCTGTGCGGTCTGGTTCGGTCTGATCTGGTCCAGATAGACCACACTCAACGAAAAATGAATAATTTGTTTATTCAACCACACAAAAAGTTGAACCAATAACCATGAAAAGTAATTGTTATTTGCCTTACAACATTAATCCTAACATGCATGACTAATTTTGATACCCTAAATCTTAGTACATAACAAAGATACAAAGTAAAAGCATCCCAACTTGCAGCATAACGTCATAAACATTAACAGAATGTCATATGGAGACTCGATTATCTCTACTCTCTAGTTAAATGTGGTTGTGAATGAAGGAGGGACGAGATTCACAAAATTAAGGTTGAGACTTGGGTGTCATTGTGGGAGTTGAGAGAGTGGTCGAATGGGCTGTTAACACGTATTGACAAGTCGTCGGGTCCACGGTTTGGTCCGGTAAATTGCAGTCTAGACCAGACCAGACCAAGAGATCAAAACATAAAATAATACAGATCATGAACCAGACCATACTTAACGGTCTATGGTCCAGACCAAACTGTGCAGTACGATTTGGACCACGGTTTTTCTAACGGTCTGGTCTATTTTCCCAGCCTAGTTTTTTCCACATGAATGAATGGTATATATAACACACAAAACAATCCAAAATCTCCTTTCCTTCCTCGAAACTCCTTCTTCAACCATGGCGACACTAATCAAAAGCCCATGACTCCCCAAACCACAGCAAGAGGGAAACAAACAGCAAACTATGAACACAGCCCAGGAAATCGCCTACGATTTCTTCCTCTCCCTTCTCGCCATCATACTCATCTTCCTCAACATCGCCCTCTTGATCTCCTGCTGCAACAAGCCGTCCTCGGAAACCCAACCCGAAGATTCCTCCCCCGCCGGCAGCGTTTCCACCGCCGCAAAAGCCAGAGCATACCAACTCTCCGACATCGACGCCGCCACCGACGGATTCAACCCGCTCCGAATCATCGGCCAGGGATCCTCCGGCACAGTCTACGCCGCCGTCTTCCCTGGCGACGACGATCAGCTCGTCGCCGTCAAGAGAATTCACCCGTCCCTCGTCCTACTCAACGCCGGCCTCGAATTCTCCTCTGTAATCAAAACCCTGTCTTCCGCCCACCACCCCAACATCGCCCCTGTCCTCGGCCACTCCCAAGCCCCCGGAGAAAGAATCGTCGCCATGGAATTCGTCGGAATTCAGAATCTGAATCACCTCCTCCACGAAAGCGCCGAAGGACTGGATTGGAGCCGCCGATTGACAATCGCCGCCGGCGCAGCCAGGGGAATCGAGTACTTACACAATCAGATGGCGCCGGGAACGATCCACGGCTGCGTGAAGCCGTCGAAAGTGTTGATTGATTCGAAATTCAGGGCCAGAGTGTGCGATTACGGGATTTGTTTCAATGGGAGGAGAGGGATTGTGGGTTATGTCGATGCAGAGTACTGGAACAGGGGAGCTTCGAAGGAGAGCGACGTTTATGGGTTCGGGGTGGTTTTGTTGGAGCTTCTGACCGGGAGGAAGTCGGAGGAAGGGTTGTTGGTGAAATGGGCGGTGCCGTTGTTGAAGGAGATGAGATTCGGTGAAGTTTTAGATCCAAGATTGGTCGCGCCGAGCGATATGAAGTTGATCGTCAGGTTGGGGAAGGTCGCGTCGGCTTGTGTTGGTAACTGTAGGATGAGTCGGCCGACGATGGTTCAGGTGGCCGCCATTCTCAACTGTCTCGAGCTCGATCACGACAGGTTCGGGTTCGATTGATCGTATTTTTATGGTGCCATTCAGTCAATCCATCAATCATCGTCGTGTTGTTTCTTTTGATCGTAGTATTATTAGGCAAATTCTTTGTGTATTAAATTTGTATAGAAATTGAAGTTACACAGCTACTCTTTCGAAGGGAGATTTTTTTTATGTCTGTTTATTGAATTTAGATGGGATGGAGGTTTTCGTAAAGCGATTAAATATGTCGGAGTATTTTTCGTAACCATTAAAATCGATGGCAAGTGTTTTTAAAGACTCTTTTTGAGTATTGGGCAAGTATAATAACTTGTAGGTACAACAAATACGATTTTATGGACGAATGAAATATAAAATCTCTCTTTTTAGAAAAAGGTGAGGATGGAAATTAGAATGGAGGGAGAATGATGAATGGGAATGGAAGAAAATGATGAATAGTTTGGTGGGGCGGTGGAATTATTCTTGGGCGGCGGCTAAATCTATGGGTTTTTGTTTTTTTTGGGAGGGACCAAGATTGTTTTTCAATTCTGTAGCCATAGATTCTGAAGGTTGTCCATTTGTTTGTCTTCATGATTAGCTAGTGATTGCTTCATCATTGAAGTAAATTGGCTTCCTTTTATTAAGCTTTATTTTTATTTGTGGTAAAACTTGTATTAGTGATTGAATGTAGCTTTCAGGCGCATATATATATAATATGTCAATAAATATGTAGATTTCAATTTCGTTTTTCTAAATCCCATTTTTTTTGTAATATTCGTAGTCGATATTAAAGCACAGTGGGCACTCAAAATTTAAGGTATACGGTCTATAAAAAAGAAATAAAAAAATAAAGGTATAATGACATATAAACATTTTTTACCATTATTTTTTTCAACCTCTGTCAAATCTTCCGATTGACTAAACGATATGTAAAAGGAGTGAAGAGATATGATCTATCCACCAACCATCAGACTCTCTATATCGACGAGCTATTGATCAAATACTATATCCAAATTGCATTTTGTAAATAAAATATCATGATTTTGGATTGACCAACCCTAGCTTGCCAGTTCTTCACGTAAAATCCACTCCACTTATTAATTCTGCTAGTTCCCCCTTATACTATTATTTCACCGTTGTGACTTGTGACACTTTGATAAATCCGTGCGATTTTTCTAGGCTGGATTAGTATGAATCTAAAGTCAATGATATATACAGTAATAAAAGGAGAAAAAAAAAGGAGAAAATCAAGGGTCGGAAAGAGAAACAGAGGAGACGTTAATCTCTTGAGCATCGCCATCGAGTTTCCGTGTGGCTTTCGGAGTTTGAATCAGTCTCTTGCTGGCAAAATCTCGTGGGCGCCGCCTTTGAATCGTTCTGGCAGGCCTGCAATTGATTGGAGTTAAATAGACGGATTAGGCCTTCGGCCCAGCATTGAATCATTCTTTCGGGCCGGCTAATATAAGCCCGTCTTATGTTTGGGCTAAAAGTTTGGCCCACCAATCAAAAGTTGAACCCAAAACTAGCCCAAAACTCCCCCACCACAAAAAAAGCGGAAGGACCCAATTCCTCCACAACAAGCGCTTGTTTCCCCGCTCCAATTCCTCCCGCGCGGCGCTGCTCTCCAGGCGAGTTCATCACTTCATCCCCAGGAGCCACCTCCGTAGGGCGGCTTCTCCAGGAGAAATGGCGGTCGGTGTCCTCGCCTTACAGGGTTCTTTTAACGAACACATTTCCGGTACCGTTCTTCTCATCTCTTACCTCTTCACAAGCATCTGTTCGCTTCGATTGATTGATTGGGTTTCGAAGTGGGCTCTATAAATTGTTATATTTGTTGTGCTGTTGGGGCAGCTCTCGGCCGATTGGGGGTGAAGGGTGTGGAGATTAGGAAGCCAGAGCAGCTTGAGAACGTCACCTCTCTCATAATTCCAGGTGGGGAAAGCACCACCATGGCCAAGCTTGCTGAGTACCACAATTTGGTAAATTTTCAGCTACGTGTCTGTCTGTGTGCCAATTCGTGAACTTGGTCTGTGTGCCAATTTGGTAAAAGCACAGTCGTCCTTGATGTTTTGCAATCGATTTTGTTGTGAAAGATTGAAACTTTACATGATGTTTTGGTTTAACAGGCATGTAAAACACTTTTTTTTTTTTTGATAATGGGCATGTAAAACACTTTGATAGTTCATTTCCTTTCCGATGCTTGAAACACCGGAGTAACAGTCTGTTTGTGTTTGCCTTAATTTTAGTTTTCATGGAGGTCAGCTTCACGAACTCAAAGTCTCTGTCAATCATGTTTCGTTAAATTCTAGTACTGAATAGGCCCCTTAATAGTCTATTGTGCTCCCCTTTTCTCTCTATTTGCCACTGTTTCTCTAGTACACAGCCTCTTGTTGAGCTCCCGTTCTTTTTGTGTTTCAGTTTCCTGCTTTGCGCGAGTTTGTGAAAATGGGGAAGCCAGTGTGGGGGACATGTGCAGGTCTTATCTTCTTGGCAGACAAAGCCGTCGGTGTGTTTTCATTCATCTCTGTTACGCCCTATGTTGAATTCCACTGCTGAAACTGTAGTCATTCATATGCTGATCTTTTCATTGTATCCCTACGGAAATTTGGCTTCCGAGTCGTAGTAAATGGCATGCTTTGTTTTCAGGACAGAAACTTGGAGGTCAGGAGCTAGTTGGTGGCCTCGATTGCACTGTCAATAGAAATTACTTTGGAAGTCAGGTAATGGTTTCACAATTAGTAAACCTTAAATGTTGAAATGATCGGGGCTAATATGCACGCTTGGGGTGTTGGACATGAACCAATGAAAAGTTTTGTATATTTGTACACCTTGGAAGAGATCTTTAGAGTCATAGCTTACTGCACATGGATTCATCTCTTCTTTGAGGACCAGGCAATTAATTAGACAACGCTTGATCTGTTCAGATTCAAAGCTTCGAGGCAGAGCTTTCCGTCCCAAAAATTGTGAGTCAGGAAGGTGGGCCCGAAACATTCCGAGGTGTGTTCATCCGTGCTCCCGCTGTACTTGAAGTCGGACCAGGAGTCGAAGTATTGGCTGAGTATCCTGTCCCATCTGCTAATGTATTGTATTCCAGTTCCGGTGTTCAAATCCAAGAGGTAGGTAACATGTTCTTCTATCCTTCATTCGCTCATGGAATCAGTTTATCTGCAGTAACGAAGTTATGTTTGTTGATAGTGAATTACAAACGCTAACTTGGAAAGCATGTATCAAACAATTGTCTCAATAGCACCTTTTACTGCCACATAACGTCTAAATGCTTAGAGCCCCGCTTTGAGTTCTCTTTTCTCCCGAAACTAGGCTAGGCTTCTTTGTCCACGGCATGTCTATACTCTCTCTGCATTAGGCTACCTGGAAAAGTATGGTATTGGCAGATGGCAAACTAGTCATTGCGTACATCAACCCATTTCTATAGAGCTATGGTCTGCGTCTGAATGACGTGTTTGGAGCTGTGCAGGAAAATGCTGTCCCTGAGAAGAAAGTCCTTGTAGCAGTGAAGCAGGGGAACATATTGGGAACTGCCTTCCATCCTGAGCTCACTGGAGATACACGGTGGTATGTTTATCTTCTTTCCCGAGTTTTTTCGCTGGTAGCATCTCTTGTGGTCTTTGTTTCTTATGTGTTTTGTGCGATGCAGGCACAGCTATTTCCTTAAGATGGCAAATGAATCTAGAGAAGGAACCTCAAGTACCCTTATCCCTGCCATTGAAGCAAATGCGGCCATTGGAGAAAGGCCGAGGATTGACCTCCCAGTGTTCCAGTAGGGGCAGCGGCATTGTCCTGTTTCTTAGTTACAGCGGAAGTTCCTTTTCTACCAGAAGAAACTGGCTTTTGTCTTTCACACAGAAACCCAGCTATGCTTATTCCTTCCTTTAGTTGGGGGAGTGGGATTAGGGTTAGCCAAGAATTCTGTCCTGAAATGTACATAATCAGCTCATTTGCTCTTCTTCTTTTGAAATGAATTCCTTGGCAAGGCCAAGCTGTGGAAATTGAATGCCGAGATTTGCTAACAACAACAATAATAGAGGCTAAACAAGAGTCATATTTCATCTTTGATCGTTTTCACATTTGCTTCACAACTGGATAATACTGCTTCCAGAAAAAGGAAACAGAGAATGGTAGTAGATCTTCCAAAGTCCCAAGGACAACGACCATAATTTCTCCAAACTACCAAGAAATTATACCTATCATCCTTCACAATCAAGGATGACAATTCCACATGAAATCATGGATAATCCAACCTTTCTCAATACAATACGTGAGAGTAATTCTCATATTGGATGGAAATCGGGTATGTGAAATATTCGTAAAGAAATTAGTGGAGATGTGATGGCTATGGTATTGGGTACCCCGCCTGTCCACCCCATCGTTGTAGTCAAACTCACCCCACATTAAGCTCATAGAAACCACCATCGTGCATCGAAATTCCAAACGACGACAACCCTTATAAGCTCCTCTAGTTTATTTTTCCCCATTTGATTGGCACTCTGAAACTTCCCGATTCTCGTTAAAACTTTTTTTTTTTTGTTATGCTTGTCATACTACTCTTTGTGGTTAGCTTACACATACGATGTACGTTTAACAAGTTCTAACCCTGATGTGCTATCAATTTAACTATATAAAATTTAGGTCGAGTTTTGATTGGTACCTGCAAAGTAGAGTTTATCCATGATTATCCAAAATCCGCAGAGATGGGAATGGGGATGCTAAATCTCCACTCCTAGAGAATGAGAGTCAATGTGGTTTGTGTTTAAACTAGTAATATTGACGGAGGAGAAAAGGCCAAGCAGAAATGATGACAATATAGCCATTAATTAAGTGCTTCGTATTTCTATAAAGAGTCCAAAATGGGAAGTTGTTATTTTCTTCCTCTTCTGCTTTTTTGAAACCCTAATGTGTACGTCAATGTCTGATGGAAATGATGAAAAGCTTCGAGGAGAAGGTTTCTCTCGTGGGGAGAGGGTTATTTTTTGCGGTGCCTTGCTTGACAAGGCCTCATCCAAATCAAAGGACCCATGACCCAATCAACTCTCGATCCCACCCTCAAATAAAAATAAAAAAACGTATAAAAATACGACCTATAATAAATAATAGAAAAAAAAGCGGCTGCTGCCTGCTGGTGCAATTTCCTTGCATATATTATGCATAATCTGCCATAGTTTCCAAGCCAAGTCTTGCAGTCTTACACTAGCTAGCCAGTTTCCCTGAATTCAGCAGCCTGTCTCCATTTACATTATGTAGCTTTAGCTAGGGTTCGCATTGTTGCTGGGTGGAGATTTCTTGCTACTAAAGCAACCTATCGTTGCGTACAATATATGACTACATATATAGTGTACGACAGAATGATAAGTTCACATTAGCATTTAACATTAATAACGTCATATTATGATATCTGCTCACAATATCGAGTTATACTGTATTTACAAGATCGATAATAGAAATAAGAGAAAAGAAATAACCCGATTCTATATTACCCTACGACGCAGTCGGGTACACATGACCATAACTAAACTTGACGTCCAAGCAATCCCCATCCATTTTCCCTTTCTTTTTTTTTTTTTCTTTTTATTTTCTCCTTTGCGTGTCTTCTTATAGCTGGAGAATGGAGGATTTCTATCCCCTTCCCTTGCTGCTGCTTCTCTCTTTTCTGTGGGCTAATCAAACAAGCTAACCCAAAATCAGCCCGCCCAACCCTTCCCTTTCCCCCTCCTAATCACCACCCTAACCTTAATTAGTATCTAATCACCCATCCTTAAAAACCCTAATCCCAAACCAGCAGGTTCCCGTCCCCTTCACACAGAGAAACAGACAAAAATCTCGTAAGCGGGAAATCGGGCCGGGTCGAATCTGTACGGGTCCTGTCTTAACCCTCACAAAAACACACAAAACGTGCCGCGAAAGCCACAGATTTTATCTTTTCTTTTTCAATTTTTTTAATTCGCTTCGACGTATTAATCTCCTTCCTTCCTTCCTCCCTCCTTTTCTTCTTCCCTTTCCCTCTCTCTTTCCTGGCCGTTTTTGCTTTCCCTCTCTCTCTCTCTTCAGCCATTTTCTCTGTCGATTTTCTCCGGCGACCAAACAGTAAAAAAGAAGCAGCAGCGAGTTCGATCAAATGTGTGAATACAGTACTTGGAGAGCATACTGTATAGCTACGAAGCATTGTTAGAGTATATATACTTATCTACAGATCGATCCAATCTAGAGAGAGAGAGAGAAATGGCATGGTGCAACGATAATCCGTCGTCCGTACTTTCGGCAGCAGCAGAGGAGCAATCTGAAAGAGCCTTTCCTCCCGCCGGCGCCGCCGACGGCGTAATTGTTCGGTTAGGCGACGAATTTGGCGGGAACAAGTGCCCGTCGTGCGGCCACGACATGGAATCGTCCTTCCAGGATCCGGTAAGTTACTGCAAGCTGGCTTTCCTGTAATTGATTCCGAGATGCGATGAATTTCATGTAGTGGTTACTTTTGGCCGATGTTTTTTTGAAATTCACAGGGCGGCGGCGGCGGGATACAGGATCTGCCGGGGCTGCCGGCGGGGATGAAGTTTGATCCGACTGACCAAGAGATATTGGGACATTTGGAGGCGAAAGTTATGTCCGATTCCCGCAAAATCCACCCGCTCATCGACGAGTTCATCCCCACCATCGACGGCGAGAACGGGATCTGCTACACACATCCTGAGAAGCTACCAGGTTTGTTTATGAATTTCTACTTCTCCACTTTCTTTGATTCTGGTAAATTATCCATTTCTAGTCTTGTTGCGAACCTCTCAAAATAGTACATGCACGAATGGTGTTTGTGAAAATGTCCAGAAGAGATAGGGATGGGATTGGGGCACATGGAGTGGCGTAAATGGGGTTAATGACGTGATTACATTCCCTTAACCAACTTTTTTTGGTATTTTTTTTTTGTTGGGTGTGGGATGGTACAAGTAACTACTAGGTAGGCTACAACTGTTACAGTGGAAACATTTAAATTCCCCTTTAATACATTTTGAGCTAATATTATCAAGAGTTTTGCCTCCCTAATTGGTGGGGTGTCTCATTTTCTTCACCTGCAAGAAACCCACAAACGGAAATCAGAGTTTGAAAATAACCCTTCAGTGATTTTCAACCAAGTTTTCCATCCCTTAATTTAATTCCCCCATTAATGATTGACTTGTAATTTGATGTGTCTCCATGTGTATTCATGTATCTACTCCACATTTTAATCTAAATATTTGGGGTCATGGTCATGTCAGTATATTGTCGTTGTACTATAACCGGTTCATCTCAATAACTTGTCGTATTTGGGATTTGGATCGAATTCATTTTTGGTACATCATGTCCATTATAGAAAAATTATTAGTGCCACCATGTATATTCATGTATCTACTGCACATTTTAAATCTAGATATTTAGAGCCATATCATGTTAATGTATTCCACTTGATATCGTCATTGTGTTATATAAACAGTTCATCTCAATAACTTCTTATACCCGTCGAATTGATACATCCCCGTCCATTTTAGAAACATTATGGTGCGTTCTGATCTTGATTTGATATGCAAACAAACTAAATGACATTGTACAACAAGCTTTCGAGTACTATCATTGCTAACTCATGGACAGGAATTGGGTTTGTATGATGAACGTGCAGGAGTCTCAAACGACGGCCAAATCCGCCACTTCTTCCACAGGCCATCCAAGGCGTACACGACGGGGACAAGGAAGCGGAGGAAGGTGCACACGGAAGAAGACGGGAGCGAGACCAGGTGGCACAAGACAGGGAAAACCAGGCCGGTTCTCGTCGGCGGCGCAACCAAAGGATTCAAGAAGATACTAGTACTCTACACCAACTACGGCAGGCAAAGGAAGCCGGAGAAGACCAACTGGGTAATGCACCAATACCACCTCGGCAACAATGAAGAGGAGAAAGATGGCGAGTTGGTCGTGTCAAAAGTGTTCTACCAAACGCAGCCTCGACAATGTGGCGGTGGTGGTGGGGTTGGATCCAGCTCCATCAAGGATTCCTTTGACAGGAATCATCCAAGTGGGAACAGTAACGTTCAAGGTAACAGAAATATTATTACTATCAATAGTGGTGCTAATACGGCAACAGCAACAACAATTACTAGTAGTAGTACACTGGTTGATTACTACAGCCCAACTTTCATGGGTTATGATCATGAGAATAGTATCAGTGATCATCAGGGGAGCCACATTAACAGAGAAAGCCCACCTCAGTTGATTCCAAATTTGGTGGTTCATCAAGGTGATGGGTCTTCCTATATTCGACTTGCTGGTGATACAAGCAAAGGCAAGCTTCAAAGGAAATGAGGTGAGAATGAGATAGAGAAGAGATCTCATGAACAGCTTTTTTCTTTTGTTGTTGGGGGTAGAGTAGGAGTTAAGGACAGGAGTTGGGGTTTTGTTTGGTGGGTATTTGACTATTTGTGGGGTATAAACTGTTAGGTATGTGGGTATTTTGAGAATCTGTCGGCAAGGGTGAAAAAGAAGGAGGATTTCAGAATCGCTATGGGATTCAATACCTTTTCTTTGGTGGGAATTGAAGTACAGGGAGGGATAGGTATAACAGCCAGGTTCTGGTGGAAGCTTTTGATTTTGTCCATAGTATATTTCATTAACTTGTGTAGGTTATAGAAGAAACATTTGGTACCTTTGGCTTTATTCTTCTGCTTGGTTAAATTATACTGTACGTATAGTATAGTGATTATTTGGGAAAGGAAAAGAATAGGGTTTCTTGATCATAGAGCAAGGTGGCATGGGCATGGGTAGGGTTGTAATTTGGCAATATTATTATATAATAATAAGCAATATTCTTGCTTGGAATAAATTCCACTCATATGTAAAGCTTCAAAAAGCTTTTCTAAAGCAACTTATCAATTGTATATGCAACATATTTGTTCTACCTTATTCTTTTGGTTTGGGGTGTAAGGTAGTTTATTTTCCTTTGGTTTTATACATGTTCCGATAGATGTAAGGAATTATCATATTGGAGGTTGAACTCAAAAAATTTGCGATGTGTATAACTATTATTATTATTATTATTATTATTATCAAGTAGCAATGTAATATTAGGATTTGAAACTTTGTTAGCAAGAAAAATTACCCAATCAAAACATATCGCGCGCAAACACCCAACAATTTTTTTTTTTTTTAACATGTCAAGAACCAGTTGCTCCCAATAACTAGAGTTGTTGAGAGAGGTTCAATCGTGGATCATATATCATGCACTAACAGGACAATTATTACAAAAAGTAGCTAGTCAATGACTTAAAATATGTGTTAATGAGTCATATCGTCAATTAGCAGGTAGTATAACAAATAGACCAAGAATATGATTTAATTTTTCTTGAAGTCAAGTGAAGGTTTGAAATCAATTTTGGATAGCAACAAAACAATTTGAAGTTTGAAGAGCTTAATGAATCTAAGCTAGGATCTAACTTGAAAAAAATGGAAGGATGTAATTTATGTTGCATTGTTAGTAAACGGTATATGATCCACGATTGAACCTCTTCCAACAACTCGAGTTGTTGGGGCCAACTGGTTCTTGACATGGTATCAGAGCCTTCTGTGACCGAGAGGTCTTGTGTTCGATTCCCGGTGACCCTCATCTGTTTCTGTTAAGCACACGGTGTCCGAACCTGTGCCTGTCCAAACTCCAAGCCTATCTGAATGGCTTGAGTTTGAAGGGGGTGTTAGTAAACGGTATATGATCCACGATTGAATTAACCTCTCCCAACAACTCGAGTTGTTGGGGCCAACTGGTTCTTGACAGAAAGGAAGAACCACTATTATTCTTCTTCTCTCAAAATGGAACGAAGACCAAGAACAACTAGTCGGCGAGACTTGCTTAATAACATCAGAAAGAAGAGAAAGAAGACAAGGGTTGAAGCCAGAGGTCACTATTTTTCCCGAGTACCAAACGATCAATCACCACGCAATTGAATCCGAGTTATGTTACCAACTTTAAGTGCCAAACTCATTCGAGGGGCAATAATACTAAGAATACTAAGTATTTATCTTTAGTTGAATCTATTTTTTGTATCATATAGTAGGGAGATTATTGAACTATTTGATCAAATTTTAACTTACAGAATATATCTCTCCGATAATAATTTACACTTACACCGACAAATGTATGTAAGATTCTAACCCTAGTCCCAAAAAGACCATGTGAGTGTGACGTTCGAACCCCTTCTCTCTTTTGCGATTCTTGCAAGGAAGGAAAAAGGAAAAGAAGTGAAAAGTGAACTCTACGTGCCCTAGTCATTCACGAATCGTCAATTTAACGTGTAAACTTTTTTATAATAAAATAATGACTAGTTGGTTTCATCTTTGACCCAAAATTAGCATCTGTATAGATCAGCCCATCAAAGCCCATTGAAGAGTTGGACTTGGGCATACGGCCCATTATCAGCTCGATAAAAACTCCATCAATTTTCTCCCACATAATCTTTGCCGTGGTGGCTGTTGGCCTGTTGCCTTGGGGAATGGGGAGAGCACTCCGCTGGTTCGGCCTAAAAACCGAACCGAGTTAAGTAGTAATTAGTATCCAAACCAGATAGGTGGCCTTCAAATTGAGCAAACCACAACCAAATGGTATTTTGCGTAGTGATTCTCAAGATGTTAGATTTCGATATTCTGTCACCGATATAGAGCTCACTTTTTGACCAACCATAGATAGTCTCGACGTCTGGTGCATGCTAACCATGCATCAATAGAGAAGGGGATTTGTCAACCAAAGCAGAGAACCGAAACATAATTCGAGAACTCCAAACTTCACAAAACTAGCTACAAAATTACTCGAGTTCTTACAAAGCGAGAAGTCCGTGTTAGACAATCGAAGTCTAAATCTAAGTCCGCCCAAACTGCAGCAAAATCAAAATATTCAAGCAAACACACCCAAAACCCCACATCACAAAGCAAATCTCACTCGAACCATAAATAGAGATCAATGAACTGAACCCTACTTCCTTACCCTCCCTAAGCACACACTTCTCGTACTGACTAAATCGACTTCACCGCAAACAAAGCCTTTCATATACAAGAAAACAACTCAAGAACTCAACTACAGCGATCAAGACTTCTGCAGGACGCACTTCTCATACAATGCAACGATATCCTTTTTGTTAGGATTCTTCAACTGAAGTAGCTGGGCACCAAAATTGTGCTTTGTAAGTTCGGCCTTCAGTTTCTGAATGGTGAACTTCAAGTAGTTCTCTTGACCAGACTGCTGACTCTGGGTATCATCTTCTTCTTCCCCCATGAACATCGAACCACCATCTTCTGCTGCTGTTGGAGGTGGTGTACTATACTTCATGGGACTGGTGGTGCTCCTGGCCCTCTTACTCGCTCTTCTACCGGTCCCTCCCATGTCTTGAACCGACCCCATTTCCACATCCTCGTTTCTACCGCGCTTGCCATGAGAAACCGCCTTCAGCTTACCATCAAGTGCTGATTCGTTCAACCGAACTGAAGTCAGCTCCTGTTGGAGCGAGTCGAGTTCTGCCCGTGCCTCTTCCAACTGAAGAGAGAGCTCTTCCGCCCTCTTGTTAGCAGCACTGTGGGCTTTCCTTTCATCTTCAAGAAGACCTTTAAGGGCTTTAACGTTAGTTGATCTTTCTTCATTGTTCGACTTCAGCAATACCTCGATTTCTCTCTCCCGCTCGTCAACTCTGCCCTCTAGCTGTGAAACTGTAGATAGGGCCTTCATCTCCGAATCACGAACAGTATCGAGTTCTTTTGTCAAATCGGCTCTTTCTCTCTCCAAATTCTCGATCTGCCTTTGGGCCCTCTCAATTTGAGCCAGCCTCTCCATTGCCAGTTTCTGGAACTCGTTCTTCTCCCTTTGTGCATTGACTGCATCAGTCCGTGCTCTGTCAGCAACTTCAACTGCCCTCTTGGATTCTGTTTCAGCCCGAGTGCACCTTTCTTGGACTTCCGCAAACCTCTCAAACTCAGAACGGTACCTTTGCTCTATGTGTATCTTCTCTTGTTCCAACATCCTAGCTTCTTTTTCATAAGATTGGGCATTGGCCATTGCAGACTCTAGTCTTTCAGCCAATGTCTTGATTTCAAGTTTGAGCGATGAGACTTCTGCATCGTAACTCTCTATCCTTGACTCTGCAGCCTGCCAAATAACAGATTTCGAGTCAACAGATTGTGCCTATAAATTCTAGAACAGAGCTAGCAGAAAGATTGAAAAATTATTCAAGGTTTTACATGTAAACAAACATTTCACGTCAGTTTATTTCATATGGTGAATCTGTGTGGTACTATGTCTGTCTTTGCTTCAGCTTATGCTTATAGAACATGCGACTTTTTTTCTAAGTTCTAGAGGAAGTGAAGAAAAAATTGGTATGTGGATGAGATATGAAATCTTTTCCATAGTAAAAAAGGAAATGATATGAGGGTAGATACTTTGTTTACCAGAAAAGATAAGGGTCTATTTTGAGAAATGGATATACCTTTGAACAAAAAAAAATTATTCCAAATGGTAATTTTCTGGAAATAAACTCTTATTTGTGAGGTAGCTTTCAGATTCTAATTATTTATTGCATTTAGGGAGAATAGTTGTTTCAAAAGTTAGATAAGCGAACATACCCTATTACCTTTATAGAGAAAGCTGGAAAAATAGTGGTTAGTTCAAAATTGTTTCATTTTGAGAGTCTTGCCAAACTATCTGTGAACCAAAGAGCATACCTTTAATTCCAAGTTCAACGTTGTTATGCGCTGCTCGGCATATTCTATCTTTGAACTCTTCTCCTTTATTTCCTCATCCTGCATGAATTAGCAAAGACTTTAATTTACTCATGATAAGAAGAAAACGAACATGATAAAATGTATTTCTCAGTACAAGGCTTCATATATAATTATATATGCAAGTATAATTGGCTAGCTAGTATACCTTGTCAGCAAGAACACCTGAAAACTCTTCCCTCAGAGCATCTTCTCTCAACTGAGTGTCTTTACTTGACCGTTCTTGAACCACAGCAGCTTTCTCCAGAGCAGCTTTGGTTTCTCGTACTGTGATGTCATATTTCCGTTTCCACTCAGCAGCCTCTTCTTGAGCTGATCTCATCTGTTCATGAGCAGCAGCCATTCTTGCTTCTGCAGCACTGCTTCTTGACTTCAGAACTGCAACTTCAGAGTTTATTTGATCCTCAACTGATTTATGCTTAGACATAACCAATTCGTGCTTTCTTCTCCATTCTGATGTCTCTTCCTTGGCAGATTCCAACGCCTTTCTTAAGCTAGAACACCTTTCTTCGAGTGAGCTGCGGCCGCTCTGCATGTCAGATATCCGCTTTGAATAATCATCAGCAAGCTGCTTCTTTTCACTGATGGCTTCATTATAGCGCCTCATATACTCAGATTTATGACCCTCACTAGCTTCCAGTTGTTTGTTCAGCAATGTCATCTTGTCCTCAATTGAACGACATTTCAGCATGAGGGAAGTCCTCTCTGTGCCCATTTGATCAACAAGCCTTTTTGCAAGGTCATGTATCGGCCCTTCCAAACTGCAAAGTGTTGCAAGAAATTGTTCAAATGAAGTATGTCTATCTAACTGAATTAGCAAGAAAGGCAGGGAAAGGAACAGAAAAGGACCAACCTTTGTTGAAGGAACACGGCTAACTTCTGCCATTTTCCAGGGCCATGACATGATGCCTCGTATTCAGAGAGGAGAACATCGAGAACCTAAACAACATTATAACATCAGTAAGCCGAATAATCAAATCATGGGACAGATATAACAGTCGGATAATCAATTTGAAAAAATGCATACCTTCACAACTTTATCTAAATTTGCATCAGAAGAATGACAAGCTGCCCTCAGCCTCTTTTCCATGCTCTGGATGGTACTTGAACAACGCATGTCTGCCTCCATGAATGCATTCCTCTTATAATCCTGACATGAAAGTCATTTGATGCAAAAGGTAAGATGCTGGTTTACTACACAATGCCATTGATCAATTTGCAGAAGCCTGTCATCTTGTCTCCAGTATTCATCAAAGAAGGATCAAGCACCAAAGTCAATCAGTAATCTGTGAGTTAGAAAGCTCCATTACCTCAAATGCCTTTCTGAAGAATTTCTGAAGAAGCTCTTCATATTTCTTTCGAACAGTCCCAATCCCTACAGCAGCACCATTGAACACAGCCAAAGACTTCTGCACCGCTACTTCATGGGCTTCTCTCAAAGAACCCTGCAGGTAGTGGAATTAGAAAAAAAAAAGAACAAAGGTATAAAAGAAATTGAAGAGCAATGTTCTTACTTACTTCCTCAGGTGGCTTTGAACGGTCAAAGGAGGACATATATGTTTCTGTTGCCGTATCATATGCTCTTCGACATTCAGCTTCTTCGACGCTCTGAAATCACAATAGCTTGTCATAAAACCACATACTAAGGGGCATATATGGTAGAGGCACAGCCTGATCTCACTTATAAAAAATAAGCCCGAAGCAGATGCACTAACATTAACCTCCAAAATACACTGGAGATGAGAAACCAACCTGCCATGAAGATGCTATTGTAGGAACTGCACCATTATTCAAGGCCTCCAAATAAGATTCTGTTACACCAACAAGTATAGGCCCCGTCATCACAGTAGCCCCAACTTGCTTGGGCCTTGTTTTCTCGAAAACAAACTTGGTTAACGCATCCAGCCCAGATCTAAATTCAGGCCTTAACCTTTCCAACTGCAAGGCATAGAAAACAATTTTACATACGACGCGTTAGAAAGAGGAACTATACATCCAAAGCGGGCAAGAACATGCATGAAAGACCATTCCAACTGACCGAAATTTGATCCATGCGTTGGAGATCAGTTTCATTGTTCAGCGGCCTCACAAGTGTGAAGCATTCCCTATCTGGGAACAAGGCTCGAATGGCATCCCGAATCTGTTGGCCATGATCATCACAAATGATTAGGAGTTAGAAGTATTTTCAAAGATATAGTAAGCTATCACGCAAGATGCACATATCTGTGGAAGATGGTCTTACAAATCTGCAGCTTATCACAACATGATATATTGATTAAAGTTATGGGGAAAACGTGGTACTATGATATGTAAAAAACTGAGCTAACTTGATAATTACCTCATTTTTAGCGCCTATATCTTTCTTACTGCCCTGAACAGGTCTCAGAGCAAGCTCCAAGTAATCACGTGGAGTTATTTTCCGATTATCCTCTGCTAGATCAAGATAGAAATCCTGCAGTTAAACAGAAATTATGGATGAAACTAATCACCAGACAGGAATATATCTGAATACATATTTAGTCAGAGACCAAACACATTAAACACAATTACCCTTAGCAGCCAAACGAATATTGGGGAAAATTGTCCAATCTCCGAAGCAGTAGTTTTTCCACCAGAAGCTCTCACACGAATGTGTTTTGTCATTTGAGTGACAAGAGAGAGACGATCAAGTGCAGCTTCATCTATGCCACCCATCTACATAGAATCAGACAAAGAAGCGAATGAACCGTCAGAAGTGAATACATATTCTAGCCACTAGACAGTATAACAACAAACCATATCAAAGAACAGAAGCCCAGTATAGAGATGCCCCCACCTGATTATAGATGAACATGCTAGATAAGAGTACAGCCAACGAGAATATCTGAGTACTGTATGTTCCCTGCCAACAATACCAAAAAAGTTATGCAGATCATAAACAGCATAAAGAAAGCATCATTCAGATGAGCATCAGAAGGGAGTGAAGTTAAAGAGAAGGGTAAGGAACTAATTCAGATTTGTGAGACATGCTGCATACAGCAGATCAATTGACAACCATAGATATTCTTCAAGTTAAAGACAAGGAAACTTACTGTTTGATCATAAGCATCAATTCCTTCACTATCTAGGAGTAATAGATTATACTCAGTCCCATCGAGAGCAGTTCTCTTTAAGGGAGCACTCCACAACCAGAGCCCTTTAGTACATGGCCGATGAGTTGAAGCTACTTGAAATCCACTACTCCTCCCAAGGAGCTACATAAAACAGAAGCAAAACAAGATATTAGAACAGATACTCGTAACAAACGTTGGAATCAAATCTTGATCGTTACATTACACTGCATTACATTAGTAACAAAAAAAACCCCAATAACGCAATCATGCATTACCCATCAGTAGATTTGATTATAATGAATTCCATATGAATCTATCTGACAAGCGATTTCCCAGTACTCCTAGACAGAGTAGTCAGGTTGGCACTTGGCAGCACCAAGTACATAATGACATAGACCCGTGATTGAGGGAAGATGTATCTAGACCAGTTCAAAACTAGGTAAACGATTAGGGGAGTGTTTGAAATGTTATTTCACTGTTCTCTATGTAAGTCTCAAACCCTTGCTGCCTATATCAGATTAGGAATCGATAAATATCATACTGGCACCTACTTAGCTACAATGTTTCAAAGTACAAGTTCAACAAATTACATTCTGTGCATACCACAAAAAATGCATAACAAATTCGTAAACCCTAGAATACAAAACACGCGCGCAAGTGCCACAGCTAGCAACAATTTCTCTTCCCAAACTACGATAAAAACACCATTCCGAAAAAATTACACCCGCAACACCAACCAGAACCCCGAAACCCACAGCATTGCGCTTCCAATTAGCAAAAATTCAAGAACTCGACCAAACGAACTAACCTGATTCAAGATGAAGCTCTTCCCCTGCCGAGCGCGGCCACAAACGGACACCACGCCAATCGGGCCTTTGACGAGCTGCAGCGTGGCAACTGCTTCCGGGTCCATCCTGAACTTCCCCTTCTCGTCGCAGTAGACGAGGCGTATCGGCCTCGCTGGCCCCGTCACCGGAGACTGCTGCGACATCGACGGCGAGGAAGAAACCATTGGGGATTGCGGCGACCCGTCGCCGGAGTTCTCCCGTCCCTTAAATATTTTAAACATCTTCCCCTCCCGTGTGTAATGCTTGCCGCCGGCGAACTAGCTACCGATGCTTTTTTTCGCTTCGTCGCCCAGCTTCTTCTTCTCTTTTGCTCTCTTTCCTTTCTTCTCGTTCCTGCTTCCTGTTTTGGGTTTAAAATTGTAAGAGCATCTCCATCAATGCAATTGCAAAAAAAATTACATTTATGTTTTTTATTGTTAACTCAATTTTTTTGTAATCCACATCACATTCATTTCAATCACCTACATCAATGCAATTAACTTGCAATTGCAAATGTAATTAAATATTATATTTAAATTATAGAAAATTAAGTAAAAGAGAAAAGAAAACAATATAAAATAAAAAGTCCCTTTTTTTAGGCTTTTTTGACTTGCATATGCAATTGCATTTGTTGCAAGTTTGCATATATGCAATTGGTAGCTACATCAATGCAATTGATTTTGCAATTGCAAACACCTATGTCATGTCATTTTGCAATTGAGAATGCAATACCAATGTGGATGCTCTAAGAGGGAAAAGAAGGGACAGTGGAGCGTAATGACATTTATATTCCCATTTCTGATGGCGGTGTGAAAGGCGGGTATAAGGGCTTATTGGTCATTTTCGCGCCGCGTGAATGGGCGAGTCGGCACAACGTGGAAATAAAGCTACCCGGCCAGATTAAACTGATAAAGCAATGTGTTTCAATATTTAAATCAAGAAAAATTGAAAAACAGATCATGGGCCGACGTCCCCAACCCATTAACAATGTGGGAAAAGGCCATCACTCCAAAAGCCCATTCGATGAACCCAAACTCTGGATTGACCCGACACCTAAATATAATAAATTAATAATAAAACTCCATGTATTCTCTGATTCGTTTCTGGTCTCTACCAAAATACAGAAAGAGAACACGTTGAATATTTTTTTTTTTTTTTTGCATCTTGGTAACTTGTTTGTTTTATCGATCGATAACACATGTGTGTCGATCTGTTCCACCTTTGCCAGGCTGCCTCGGCTGAATTTACCAATATTGCAAAAGCTGTTTGTATGAATGCATCTGTCATTGCCTCTCTAGGCTTTGCCAACTGTCCAGTAGAGCTGCTGGAGCAAACCAAGCGCCTTCTCGACCGTATGTTGGAGCTGAAAGAGCAGCACCGGAAATCATCAATGGTTGGTCTCCGATCAAGAGTTGATCAGAACAACATTGAAGTGGGTGATGGCCTGAATTTAACCGCACGTCTACGTCGTTTGGCGGTGTCTGCTGAGTGCTCTTATTCTGAAAGTTTGGATTCTGGTAGGTAGCTAGAGAATATGTTGTGCCCAACACCATGTGTTGTCAACTTAATTAGATTAAATTTTAGGTCGAGTTTGTTTGGTATCTGCATTTCGATACTTTGTTTGTTTAATTGCTTGCGATAGACATTTCTAGTATCATCGTGGTATATTTTTGTTGGTCGCTTGCGCAGATCAATAATAGGAGTATCAGGTGATAGTTCAATCTTATTTTCTTATGAAAGTATCCGAATGTATTTTGTTGAATGAATAAATATTTCGCAAATAATCATATGCCATGCTCTCTCAATCAAGAGATGGCTATCTTGGAGGAGGTATTTTATATCTTTTGCATATTTTTATGTATTTTTCTCAGAGCTAGTGTGTCGGTGTTTTTTTTTTTTTTTGAGCTTCAACATAGCTATCTAACTAGTGACAAAAATAAAAATCTTTTTTCGTCATACTTCGGTTGCATACGAATTGGTCTGGGAAAGTGAGTGCTACGAACGTAAAAAAGCTCAAGTGATTGTGTCACCTAAATCACTTTTAAACGGAGTGGTTAATTAACAAAGAGTTCGATCCCATTCCATGACTCAGACGTTCTACATGGAATTAGACACAAACATAATTTAATTAAGAGCTAAAAAAAAGCATGTAACACGGCGGCAACGACAAATCCGACAAGTTACTACTCCTTCACCCGCACGATCGCCGCCGGTGAGGAAGAATCAGAAGTAGGCAAGACTCGCTTCATTGACCGTTCGAAGCCGGAGCGTAGACCGTGACGTTATAGTGTACCACGGCATCTCCCCCGGCGTTGACCGACACCGTTTTCATCTCCGCGTAGCCACGCGCCATCCTGAACACGCCCGTGCCGCCCAAAACGGGCAGCTCCCGGGTCGGGTCCATGGCCGGGTTCTTGCCCATGATGCTGAGCGAGCTGCCGTTGTACGGCCCGTCCGTGAACCCGTAGCTCATCGCCATCAGCAGCGAGATCTCGCTCTGCCCCGCGGCGGCGTACATCCCCTGCGCCCGCCCGATGACCTTGGAGCTCGCGTCGGCCGTCTCGGTCAGCGGGTCGTCGGCCATCACGACGGCTCCGAAGAGGGTCGTCGGGGAGGAACCCGAGGCCGGTTGGACCACCCGCTCGGCGGTCGGGTTGCTCCCGCTGAGGATGTCGTGGAAGTAGAACTGGATGTTGGTGATGGTCTCGGGCCCGTTGCCCGAGTCCAGCCTTCGGGCCCAGTTGACGGTGGGCGACTGGGCCCAGGAACTGGACATGGATAGGGAGATGACGAACATGAAAGCCAAACATGCTCGAGTACTACTTCCCATTTTGTGTTGGTGTTTGATTCTTGTGTTTTGTGACGGTGAGGATGGGTTTAAGGTGTGATTTATAGGAAGGTAAAGGTTAGGTTTTTGCCCCCTTTTTTGGCTGGGTGGAGGACTTCTGGGAGGTCAGAGGAGTTGCTCAACTAAACAACAAAGGGCTATGTCGATTTCTCACTAGATATCCTGCCAGGCTGCCACCACTTGAAATAAAATAAAAACATATATGTGTAAGGTCGGATGAATGTCAAACTATCTTCATCAAGTCAAATTATTAGTAAAATGGATTCTTTTTTTTTATAATTATTCCTATCAAATTGAAAAGTGATGTATGTTGTCTGGTCTTCCAATTTTTGTGCTCATTTCTCTCTTCTGCCCGTTGTTAGAACGGATCGAAAAAATGGACAATGCAAAAGAACACACAAAGTAGATTAGACGATCTAATTCTAATCCAACTTGGAAAAAAAAAAAGAAAAAAAAGGTTACATAGTAAACCAAAAACAATAAATTGTATAAGCATATACATCATGGCTTATAATCTGTTTTCAAATGGACAACATATAATAATATGTTTTCAAATCATAGCAACAACCACTTCTGAGCTATGTTCTCCAATTCCACTGTTTTACTTTTACCCTTGTTTCCCTCTCCTTTAAAGCTTCAATTCTTCCCTTTTTCTCCTTTTCGGTTCGCCATTACTTTGGATGGTCTTAGGAGAAAATCCTCCTATCAACTATGTGATAGACAGAGAGGTAGGCGTTATTTTCCACCCACGTTAGGCCAACTTCCCCATCTCTCAGTTCCATGATTCTCCAGATCAAATAATTTTGGTTGGATTTGGTTTGTTGTAGTAATATATTCGAGTTCTCACTACACCAATAAGTACATGCAGCCACAAAAACTTTGCCACGAATAATTATTCTAAGCTATAAATGCCTAGTTGCTTGGAAGATCCTCTCTCGTGGCTATTGATAATTAATCTAGTCACAAATATGATGGCTCGGTGCTAATTGTATCATTTTGATATAAAATCTATATATCATAGCAATAAATATCTTTTAGCTATAAAGTTTTTGCTACAGTTAAAATATTGTATATGATTGGTGTATTTTGCTAGAGTATGGATATAATTGTAGCTATTTATAATTACTGTTGTCACAAATATAACTACCCATAGCTAATTGTGTCATCTTGGCAATAAGTAAAGTTTTACCAATAAATTGTTTTGCTACTGTTAGAATAGTGGTAGCTAATTGATGCATTTAGCTAGAGCAAACAACTAATTGTAGCGAAAGTGATTTTATCATACTTGTTTAAGCCACGAAAACGAAGTTCGTAACTATTATTAACAATATGATAGAATTGTCTGATGCCATATGTTAGCAGTCAGTCATGGATCATTCTCGAGTAATTAGGATTAATTTTTCTTCATTTAAAATATTAACTATATTTTTTGGATACCCAAAAGCTTAAAATATATCCACTCCATTACCCAACATCATCGTTTTGCAAACTTCATTATATAAAAAAATTTCAAATCAATTTATCCACGCTAGCGATTAGCATTTTCTTCATCCAAGTTGTTGCTCTTATCCTAGGGCTATTTTGTATCGTTCCATATTTTAAACAATATTCTATGAACAAATCAATATCTAACAAAATTACTAGGAACATTTGTAACTTTGACAAACCTTACCGAGATATTGTACTTGCAAAACTTGTAACTTTACAAATGAACTTGCTATTACTTGCACAACTTGTAGCTCTTACAAACCATTAAGAACGTTAGTTGAAAACTCTTACAAATTTTAGTATTTAGCAAATGCATATCTTTTATAAATTAATTTTGGGACTATTTATAAAATTTGTAATGTTATAGTTAACCAGAAACATTAGTAACTTCGATTCAAAATTTGTAATTGCTTACAAATTATTTAAAGACTTTGTTTTCCAACTACAAATTTCGCATCAAAGTTTGTAATGCTTTGTAGAGTTATAATTAAATTTTGAAATGGTTTCATTTTCAAGTTAATTTCTATAATTTGTAAGATTTTTGAAAGTACTATAATTTGTAAGGGTTTTCAAAGTTACTAATGTTCATGGTAATTTGTAAGAGTTACAAATTTTGCAACTCGTTACATGAAATTTTAATATTTGTGACGGTTACAAAATAGTCACAGGCAATGAGGAATGACCTAGATGTAGGAGATGCTCGAGGACTATGTGGGGATGGTTGACCGCTGGCTTTTGTATGACTCTGTTGGTGGATTTGTAATCCGCGAAATTAAGTAATTTGAGGCAGAGGCCCTTGTACCTTTTCCAAAAAAAAAAAAAAAAGAAGGATAGGATATTAATGGGAAGATCAATTTATCCAGATAATGATAAATAAAGTGCAAATTTATGGGTTAGGTCTCAAATATAGTATTAAAAAGTTTTTATTTTGGTAATTATTAATAATTTCAATTGAAAAAGGAAACAAATAAGGAAAAGGCTCTATTAAAGGCATATCATCGAAGAGAGAAGGATTAGGAGAGCTAGGGTCTGGATAAAAGGCGATTAAAAAGAAGTAAACACGAAGGAGGACTTCTATAGGGTTTCCGGGAGACTCGAAAGAGTGAAGGGTTTGAAAGAGTGTATCTTCGATGTGAATCTCAGCGGCAAGAAAGGGACAACCGGAAGGCAAAACTCCATCGGATGGATCATTGACGCGCAAGTCGCAACGACGATAGCAGAGACAGATCTAATTTTGTGATTCGGTAAAACGAGGCGGCAACCACATTGGCTGCAGTGGAGAGTGGAGACGTCATAGATGATAAGGAGAAACATAAGTCGATATATCAGTTATAGGCGCGGTGCAGATTTCAGCAATATGAGAAGGCCCAATTATGCAGTGGCAAACGAATTCGCAAACAGAGACATAGAGACACAGAGGCACCATGTTGATCTTCATTGGGTATGCACTGACAGCTTTCTTATTAAGGGTTTCTTTTTCAATGTTCTATTCTCATGCAGCATTATCATTTATTTTTCTATATCACAAGGTGAACAAAAATTGTGTGGATTAGATGAAGAGTCAAGGACCCATCAATGATTACAAAGGGCGTATGAAGTAGAAAAGTTTATGTAAATATCTTCTTGGTCATTTGGACTTGTAGAGGTAAAGATCCTAGTTTATGTCAATATTTACTTCAATTGGTACATGTTGCTATTGAAATTTCTTTTCTTTATTATGATTGAGCATTGTTCGTGTTGTTTTAAGTTTGTTATGTAGTGTCCTAGCCCTTTATTTAGAAGCTTGAGGATCAAAAGTTGTATACTTTGACTCTATAAATCTCTTTATATATATTAACCCCCTCAATTATAAGCGAATGTCTGGTTTCTTGTGTTCTATGGTTGACTAACTAGTTGACTCGGTGATTTGGACTTCAATTGTGCATAGGCTGGTCGTATTTGAAGAGGAGCTTAAATTAGTATCTGGAATAGTTGAAGACATTAATATTATGGCATTGGGATTGCTTCTAGTGATGAGTTATTTGTACGTGTACACTTCCTTGACTTGCTCTTTATGCCTTTTATTTTAGTACACTTGATATAGTTTATTTTTATTTTTACGTATTTTTAGCATTACCATTTTTTCGTTGCAGGTACTTATGTAGATAACAGACAGGAACAAAGCTCAACTGCTATTTGTCCAAGCCGAGATAGAAGTAAATTTGTTGGAGATTATAGAAGTTAAAGTACTATGATAATGCTCAATGTTTCGTGTAGACGAAAGAATTTTTAGAAATGTTTAAAGAATATATGTTATGTTGTTGTAATCATTTTTCCTATGAAAGGATATTGTAGGTGTAGTACTTATTGTAAAGAATTCTTGTACATGATTTATAATAAATTTATGCATATTTGCAAGATGCTTATAAAATTGTTTCCAGGTGAAATTAGGGATTATCAAGATGAAAGAACGATTTAGGAAAGTAGATAATTACATTGCTCATTTTTAATATTAAATAGCTAAAATTATGTTAAAAAAAACTTTTCAGCAACCAAATTATGCGTGGCTAATTTATTACAGAATGAGCCACAGTTAGGTTCATTTGAAGCTATATCTATCTTATTGGCCATGGCAAGAATCTGAACTTTTAGCTTCAAATCGATTACCCATGGCAAATGTTTAGATGAAGCCATATCATATAATTAAGGTAGCTGATTAATATGATGATTTTGCTACAGGATTTCACTTTTATGGCAAATAGGAATTGCACTTTTAGCTACATTCTATTTTCTCATTTAGCTAAAAGTTTAGATTTTAGCTACACAAGTAAAAATATTTGTGGCTAACCTTTAGCTGCGCCACTTTTAGCCACACGAGCTACAAAATGAATTTTCTGTGGCTATATAATTTAGCCACATAATATTTATTCTTTAGTCACACAAAAATATGTAGTTGTAAGCACGTTTTCTTGTAGTGTCTATTTTCCTTTTGGTTGAACTGTATTTGATTAATTGAGTTCAATGTCACAACTACTGCAATATTGCCATATTTCGTTCGTGGGAAGAAAAGAAATCCAGCCAGCTGGTTCCATGAATCAAAGTGACAGGGTCAGAGACCACATATATAATATGGATTGAGCAAAATTAAATTCTCTTATTTATTAAAGTAGTGGAGCACGCTTGGAATATATCTCAATATGTTGATATAGACAATGATGAAGTACGTATAGTTTAACAGAAGTTATAATTTTCGTTTCATATGTGATTCAAAATTATAGTATGCAATCGTGTATTGAATAAATTTTTGAAAGCGGTATTGCGAATGCTTATTATTAGTGTCCCTCTAGATACTCAAGTTAAATCCCGTTTAACTTATATACTCGTTTTATATATATTATCTTCTCGTTAAAGTCATGACTTTGTCGTTACGGACGTACGGGTTGAACAAAATATTATGTCACGATAGTTCCATTTTGTAATGTAAATTTGATTGCAAATTTACAATAATGCAAAAATTAATATCTGCTATTCGATTGCGTCATACCTGTATCTTTCTATACAAATTCACAATCTAAATTTGTATCACAATGTAAAGATTACATATTTATTTATAGTACAAACTGAACTTATACGATTAACGTTACGACACAAGTTCAATTCGTAACTCAAAACACTAACACTCACTTTAGAGTGTAGTAAAAATGCTCTTAATTAACTGTCTAAGGAAGAGAAAGGTCTTCAGTGGTATTAATTAATGTAAAAAAAAACTTCTTCCAATAGTATTACAAATGATTGAGCCACCTAATCTCCTAATGAGCACAATAGTAATCTCATTCTCATACTACAGAGAACTATAAGAGTAAACAAATGAAAGCGGCACAAGCCACAACAAAGCTAACGAGCCACCCCTGTCTACCGGCCATCGTCGCCGGCGAAGAAGAAGAAGAAGAAGAAGTCCTCGTGCTCCCTCCGCCGCCTGCAGCGGTGGAGCTCGGCGAAGTCGGCCCATTATTCCCGTTGGAAGCCGGCGTATACACCGTGACGTTATAATGCACAACGGCATCCCCCGCGGCATTAACCGACACCGTCTTCATGAGCGCGTATCCGCGCGCCATTCGGAAAACCCCCGTCCCGCCCAGCACGGGCAGCTCCCGGGTTGGGCTCATAACCGGGTTCCGGCCCACGATACTGAGCGAGCTGCCCTTGTACGGGCCGTCCGTGAACCCGTAGCTCAGGACCATCAGCAGCGCCATGTCGGTCATGCTCTGGCTCGCCACCCCGTACATCCCCTGGGCCCGGCCCACGACCTTGGAGCTCGCGTCGGGGCCCACGGTCAGCGGCTCGTCCGCCACGTTGACCTGGCCGAACCCGGACGAGCCGGATGCGGGTTTGATGATCTGAACCGCGGTCGGGTTTCTTCCGCTCACAATGTCGTGGAAGTAGAACTGGAGGTTGGTTACGGTGTCTGGGCCGCCGCCGGTGGTGGCCGGTTGGGCCCACGAGGACGTGGCTACCGTGAAGGAAATGAACAAGATGGTCCAATATGTACTCGACATTTTGCTCTCTCGAGAAATGGGGCTTATTATCAGCTTTTTTATATGGAGCAAGGGAGATGAAGGAATGGTTTTTATAGGAGATTTGAGGGTTTGGGTTTTGGCAATGGAAGGTTCGTTTAGGTGGTGAGAAGTCAAAAGGGTCGGTGAGCTGAACAAGAAACGTAAAGGGAACCTCATGCTGACTCACCTTTCCTCCTCTCATTGAATTTTTTTTCTCTCTTGTGGTGGGACACATTTAGTTATGGTTTAGTTGAACTTGATTCTAATTTCGTGGAATGAATGATACGTAATGTTGGAAAGCGTAACGGGTCAGATTATTAACCAGCATTTTAACCGAACTTATGAATAGGACTGGTTTAATTTTATGTAGAATTTTACCGAATATAAAATTATGTAAGTTTCTTCGCAATCTCTTTATAAATTTTTCGAACAAGCAACTCGATGAACCCAACTCTTATAATTCCACAAATCATTCTATTAGTAAGAATTCATGGTGTATTAGTATTAGTAATGAGAATCGAAATTGCCTAGTTGATTATATTTGTCAAATTATCACGTCGGTTTATAGGCAAGAAACACGTGGAAGGCAAATAACTGGTGTGTCTACCAAGTTGACTTGTTTTAATTGGTGTCCAGCCACGATTGGCCAACTCCTCAAGCTGTTAATGAGAAATTTTACAATGCTATATAGTATTGGTGCTATAGGTTTTTGCTTTTATGGTACAACTTAAAATTGTACATTTACGTTATGGTACAACTTCAGATTGTACCTATACTTTTTGTACAAATTCTTGTATGGTACAACTTCAAGTTGTAAAGTTGTACCATAACATAATGTTACAAACTGTTTTATGGTACAACCTAAACTTATACATTTAATGTTATGGTACAACTTTAAGTTGTACATTAAAGCACCAATACTATATAGCATAGTAGAAGTGCTCGCTGTTAATTAATTTTGGAGATCTCTTTTTTTTTTGTTGAAATTTGCGAGATTTCCGTGAGGAGATCTTGTGTTATGGTTTAATCAAACTGGTAGTTCAACGTGGCGGCCGGTGATATCACTATTATTTTCGTTAGTGAGATCTGCTGAGAATATTTATTGAACTGTGATGGATTATTTTCTATCCTTATTTTACTTGGCATGCCACGAACGGTTTCCAGCTCTTGGGTTTAAGTGAGGAACACGTCTAGGGAAAGATGAAGAAGAAGAAGAAGAGCTCAACGTGTTAGACTGTTAGTGGCGGCTGCCGGCTGGAGTTGCTATACCGCCATGAACCATGGTATTATCAGCATTTTGCGATGGTGAAGTATTCGATTCAAATTTCGATGATCCCATTTGTTAATCATATAGTGATTTTTAATGACGGTTGGGCCAATGGGCGCGTTGAGACGCACCGTGTAAATGAACATGAGGATGGCCCTACTCCTACCTAGTCTTGACATTTTCCCTTTTGAAATGACAATGTAGGTGTAAAAACAGTTGAAAGGTAGGGAGGAAGGATGGGGTTTGTTTGGCTGGTTTTGTTTGTTGGCAAGTCACAACAGTTGCCTGGGCTGCAAGATAAACAAGAAGGGTTACATTAGTATTCTACAAAGTGGTTGGGCTTAATTACTTTATTGCGACGTTTGGCAAAAAGCCAAACATCAACTGTTACATAATAAGAAAATTATGGTATGCAGTTTACTTTGTATCGAATCATTTACTATTTTGCTAGTATTATTTACGATGATGAATTGATTATACTATCGACGATTCGACGTTGAATATTAGAAAAAAGTTACATAATCTGAAAAGGAACAAAATAATATTACATAACCAAGTAGTTAGTGGATCCCATGTCGTACGTGCAAAACACCTGAGGGAAAGGAAAAATACCACAGAACAGCCTTTCCAAATGTAAACTATTATAGAATTACATGTAATTTATGTTCTATCTATTATTAAATATATAAACAAATACTGAAAATGGCTTATATTTGGCCACGTAATTAGAGATTGATAGAATAGCATGGTGTGTGGTTTGAGTGATTTATCCTCTTCTATAACATTCATTTTTACAACGGATTTGATAAAATGTTCATTTGTCAAGTTGTAATCTACAAATACCTATAAGCCAATGTCAATAAAAGCTTATTGCCACATCAGCCGGTGCTGTTCATACCGCATGACTCGGAGGGATTAATTTGTCATCTCCGCCTCCTGTACTCTTCTCGCCAAAAACCGTCCACTACTGAGACTTCTTTTTTTACGTTTTACAATCCATCAAATATTTTTTCCTTTTCTACGAGCCCACGGCTACTAACCCACTTCTTACACTAAAAACAAATCATTATTTTTGTGGAAATTTAATCTTTAGAAGCCAACAAAGTAAATATTATCTGCGTTTCAATATTTTTGTCATAGGTTCCTCTTTTTCATTAACCTTGCTCTAATATTTCCAAGACCCATTTTGATCCTAGCAGAAAAAAGTTCAATGTGAACAAACCCATAATTTTTCATTGAGATAAAAAAAAAATTTTATCATACATTAGTGAGTTTATACTTTTTTCTTGAAAAATTGAATCCTCAATAGATAACCAAAATGGTTTAGGCTCCAATACAGAACTGTTTCATACGTAGGTTTACAAAAACTATATACAATTGTTGCAATTTGAGAAAAGAGAGATCAAATGGTCCATATCATAAAAAGATAAGGAGATAAATAAGTGGTTTTTGGGGACAGTTGATCTGGCGCCAATGACCTGATTTTTTGTACTGGTATGAAGTTTAGGCATGGCATGGTACTAAAATATTTTCAAATCTCCAATGAAAATTCAAAGATTCATATCTAATTCATTTTACATTGAATTTCAAAAAAATTGCTTAGAAAGATCAAATTTTTTGTACTCTATAAGATAATATCTTTGATTTTTTATTAGCAAAATTTCTACGTTATATTACCACTATCATATCATGATATTATGGTATGGTGCGCCGATATGAAGTCTAATAATAATGGTAGATGTTGGTATGACAATGGTAAGATAGTAAGAAGTTTTATTTTTTAGCAAAAAATTGATATCACCATACCATTATATTATCATTGTATCATAGTTGTAATATCATTATATGATAGGGTATATAATAGTGTGGTCAATCATACCATAGTGGTAAGTCATTGTATAACAGTGATAGGATTACATCAAACACGTATTTTTAAAAGACTATTTATTTTTATTGTTCAAAATATAGCAAAATTATATATCATTGCATAGATCATAATTAATAAGTTCATATGTACAAAATTTTAAATTTCTTTAGTTAAACCGAAAGAGATATAACATTATGTCACTATCATGCCATGAAGATATGGCGATGATAAGATTACAACCAGCGTATGATTAACTTTTTTGCTCAAAATATAACAAAGTAAATATCATTGTGTATTTCATAATTGATGCATATTTTCTATGTAATTGTTTTTGTGAAATTAATGTAACTTTTTTAATTCCGAGATAAAAATGAATGAGATATAATCTAATTAAGAAAACATAAATATTTTAAAAAGTAGCATTTGACAGGTTAAAAGTCTCCCTCTCTCCTATAGATTTATCTTAGTAAAAACTAAAAAGAAATAGTAATTGACAAAGGGCACGAAATTCCCCTCCACCCCTCTTATCCTTATATGAGTTGGGTATATTATGATTGATTGTTAAACATTAAAATTTTAAAGAGATTTGTAGAATATATTTTTGTATCTCATCCCTTTACGATAAGAATTGGGTCCTCAACAGGTTAATATAAATTGGATTTCCGATAGACCAATAAAAATGGGGAATAAATAATAAGTTTCTATTAATATGAAAAACGATAGAGAGGAACGAGAAATTCATTAAAAAAGAGAGAGGTACGCAAAAACAAGTTATTAATTAATGGGCGTATATTATAGGCGACAAGAATTTATCCATAAATGGATTTGGAAGTTCAACCTGATTCTTTTTATTTATTTATAGAAGCTAATTCACATGAATATCCTTTTAACCCTAGCCTATTTGAAGTTTATTTTCTCATTAAATTCATCTATTAATTAATATCATATTATTTTTATCTTCAATGTTTGGCTTAGTTGATTACAAGGTATCTTATAATTTTAAGACAGAATGTACATTTTTATCTTGAAATTTTAGTTTCACGCTTAGTTTGTCTCTATGTATGTATTTTCACATAATTGTCCAATTGTAACAATTTTGAAACATCTTAATAATATTTTATTACTAACTAAAATGAAGAGATTTTTCATTCATTCATTGTTATATATAAATATCTAAGTGTGTGTTATCTGATGAAATAAAATATTAATTCGCAAAAATCAACTACCCGGCCAATCGGCCGGGCCACATTCTAGTAGTTAAGTAAAGTAAAGAAAATGTAGTCTCTTTCCAAAAAAAAAAAGTAGTTGAAGGATATATTTATTAACTTGCAACAACAATAATTGTAAGATTATCATACAAAGTATTCAACATATATTTTTCTTATCAACGAAAGAAGAAAAAGAAAAACGTCCACCAGACTTAAAACCCACCGTAACAATTCTGGATATATTAGAAAATCTATCTAATTACAATAATGCATGGATGATAACATCTCTATCACATATATATTAGCTTTAAACCTTAAACCAAACATAATAAGTAAATACATATAAAATCCCTCTTAAAGAAATGCGGCAGCTACAACAACCGCAGCAGCGCCAACCATCCACCACCGTCCACGCATCGTCATCCTCGGGGAAGAAGAAGAAGAAGAAGTCAACGCCGACGAGACTTGTCCATTGCCATTGGTAGCCGGAGCATACACCGTAACGTTGTAATTCACAACAGCATCTCCACTCGTGGTGTTAAACGTCACCGTTTTCAACACCGCATACCCACGCGCCATCCTGAACAGCCCCGTGCCGCCCAGAACGGGAAGCTCCCGGGTCGGGTCAAAGACCGAGTTCTTGCCCATGACGCTCAGTGAGCTGCCCGCGTAGGGCCCGTCGGTGAAGCCCAAGCTCATGGACATGACGATCGCGGACTCGTTCTGGCAGGAGAGGGCGTACATCCCTTGGGCCCGGCCCACGAGCTTCGAGCCCGGGTCGGCGGTCAACGTCAGCGGGTCGTCGATCATCACGACGGCCCCGAAGAAGGAGTTGTTGTCGGAAGCCGTGGCCACGGGCTTGACGATCTGGACGGCGGTCGGGTTGCTGCCGCTGGGGATGTCGTGGAAGTAGAACTGGAGGTTGGTGACTGAGTCCGGGCCGGTTCCCGAGTCGAGCCGTTTGGCCCAGCTGACCGATGGTTGTTGGGCTTGGGCGAATTGGGGTGAAACCGCCATGGAAATGGTGACCAGGAGGATGGCCAAACCTATTAGTCTGGACATTTTGGAACAGGTGTGGAGACGAGGCAGAAATGAAGATTTTTAGGCTAATAGTGATTAAGGCAGTGGAGGAAGATGAGTTTAATTAGGAGATTTATAGGGAGGATTAGTGAGTAGTTAGTGATTATATCTAAAGTATTATTTATTTTGGGTGCAAGTAGCAAACATTAAATATTATAATCGCATTATATTCCAATAAACAGTTAAATATATACTTTTCTTACCAAACCAACTGATATGATAAAAATAAAAATAAAAATAAAAACCCAAAGATCGCAATACTTAAAAACCACGGTAACAATTCACAATGTACTAGAAAGATCGATCTAATAATATATAATGTAATGATATTATTAGTTTATTAATTACTAACATCCAATCATCCATCACACATATATTAATTAGATTCACTTAACGCGTCAGTCGTCGCCGGAGTCGCAGCCGACCAGACTTGTCAATATGCACCGGTAGCCGGAGTATACACCGTAAAGTTACAATTCACAACCGCATCTCCGCTCGTGGTGTTGAACGTGAACGTCTTCAGCACCGCGTACCCACGCGCCATCCTGAACCGCCCCGTGCCACCGAGAACCGGAACCTCCCGGGTCGGGTTCATGATCACGTTCCTACTCACGACGCTCAGGGAGCTGCCGTTGTAGGGCCCGTCGTCAGTGAACCCGAAGCTCATGGACATGAGGATCGTGGAGTCGTTCCGGCTCGAGAACGTGTACATCCCTTGGGCCCGGCCCACGAGCTTCGAGCCCGGGTCGGGGGTCAACGTCAGCGGGTCGTCGACAATCACGACCGCCCCGAAGAAGGAGTTGGGGTCGGACGAGGTGGCGACCGGCTTGACGGCCGTGACGGCGGACGGGTTGCTGCCGCTGGGGATGTCGTGGAAGTAGAACTGGAGATTGGTGATGGCTTCGGGCCCGTGGCCGGAGTCGAGCCTTTTGGCCCAGTTGGTTGGTGGTTGGGCTTGGGCGGATGGGGTTGAGACGGCGATGGAAATGGTGACCAGGAGGAGGATGGCCATACTCAGTCTTGACATTTTGGAAAAAAGGGGGGAGAGGGGAAGAGGAGGAAATGGAGGTTTTAGGTTAATAATGATTAAGGCAGTGGAGGAGGAAGGAGGCAGAGTGAGTTTAATTAGGAGATTTTTTTTATAGTAAGTTTAATTAGGAGATTAAGGCAACAAGCATCAACTATTACGTATAAAAAAATACATTATGGAATAGAGTTTACTTTGTATTCAATCATTTACTATTTCATAGGATTACTTAGGACGACGGGTTAGTTACTTATATAGTCGTTAAATACCAAAGAAAGATACATAATCTAGGAGAAGAACAAAATAATATTACAATAACAAGTTTTCCATCAGAAACGAATTCATCTGGAAGCCTGAAGTGGTGCTCTTCATATTAATCAATGAAAACATTTCCTTTTTGTCTATAGATTCCCCGGAGGGGGCCTGGGGTCGGTAGAATCCAGAAACGCTCTCGCTTATACTTTTGCGGTAAATCCTACGAGGAAGGATACCCAATATAACTTTCCTTCTAGTCTTTTGTTCGTCTAGCCAAGCCAAGGTTGCTTTATCATATGATATATATTTTTTAACTAACGTACATGGACCGTGACATTATAATGCACAAGAGTCAGTAACGTAGTCAGATTTTGAGTTCACTAAAGTTCACAAAAATTTAATAATTACTTAGAGTGTGGGGTCCGAAGAAGCTGCTGGAGCCTGGTGGTCGGTGGATGTTGGGCAAAGTATTGAAATACGTGGGCCCTAAGGCCCATGGTTACAAAGTCCACAAACAAACGGGCTAGACCCTACCAACCAAACAAACACGATGACCCCGAGGCGGTCTCTCGCTCCCAGAAGACCGCCCGACATCAGGTCACGGTCGGCCTGTCCCAATCGTCCGACATAAGGACCAACGGCCTTCTGGTCCCCTCCGTACGAAGAATGTTAGAGATTCGTAGTGACAAAGCATTTAATGAGCACCGAGGCGTCCCCGAACGCCCGACAAGTTATTAAATGCCCAAGACTCAGCTAGAGTTAGTATAAATACCTTCAAGGGGCATCATTTATGGTAACTTCTACCTACTCCACTCTCTCTCTCTCATTTACTACTCATTCACTTCTCTCTCTAACTTTGGCATCGGAGGAGGTCCCAGGATCTCCCTGAGAACCTTTCTTGTAGGGTTTCGGAAACCGCCCCCGTCTCTCGAACATGAGGCCCGTGAAGTCTCACAAAACCGCCTGGTATGATCCAGGCACAAACAGTGGATGTTCTGGAGGAGGCCGGCTTGACGCTCTGAACCGCCATCAGATTTTCCCGGCGGGGAGGTCGTGGAAATAGAACTGGAGGTTGGTGATGTTGGTTGAGACCGCCATTGAAATATGAACATTGAGAATGATCCTACGTAGTCTTGACATTTTTTGATTTTTTCTTGAAATGGCAGGTTTTGTTTGTTAGCAAGTATAGTTGTTGGGCTGGACAAGAAACAAGAAAGGCCCATAATAGTATACTACAAAGTTGGCCTTTACTTTACTGCGACATTTGGCCCACCCCTTAATTTCCTAATGAACACAAATTACAATACCCTATTAAAGGAGTACATTAATTCAATCCAGGTGTTTGGTACTTTGGTAGGCAGCAAGCATCAACGATTACATATAAAGGACATATGGGCTAGTAATTTACTTTGTATACAATCATTTGCAACTTTGTAGGATTACTTGTGATGACGGATTAGTTAATGATATCAACATTGAATACCAAAAATAGATACTTATTCCGAATCAAGAACGAAATAATATTACATGACCAGTTTTTTTTTATTTGAATGAATTCATTTGGAAGGCTAAATCGGTGCTCCTCATGTTCATCATTGGACAATATTTTTCTTCTTCTTAAAAAGATTAGTACGGCATACTTAAATTACGTATAGTGGTTAGCGATTACCTTGTCGTGCAATCCAATAAATAAAATTACATCACAAACAGCCTTCTAATGTAAATTTAAGCGCATGTAGTTTATGTTCTATGATCTATTAAACATACATAAACGCATTAGACAATAAAGACAAAAATTACCATAGTTAGTAAAATACGGTACGGGAAACTTACGTTTAAAATACGTACGGGTATTTTACTTCGTCCCCAAGACAATGTTACGTTTAATAGTACGTAAATAGTCATAATTAAATAAAATTAATTATTTTAAAAATCAATAAATAGTAAAGTTAACAATTTAATTTATTAAATACGGATATTAAACGTGTTATACGGGTTTTATACGTGTTTACTGTTTAGTACGGGAGCCATCAAATGAACGGGGGAAATGAAACGGCTTGACAATAATACGGATACCGAAGTTTTAAACGAATAATATTTATTAACTTGTAATAATCATACACATAACATATTGTTATTTTTATTATCAAACCAAAGAGTTCAATATATACTTTTCATCCAATAATTAATAATATATAGATGATAACATCATCACACATTATTATGTTCAAATCTCCAAGCCACCAACATAATCATGTAAAATCATAATTTCTCACAAGTGAGTGACAAAACAAACTAAAGGAATGCCGCCGCTGCAATCGCAGCGCCAACCATCCACCACCTCCCACGCATCATCATCCTCGGGGAAGAAGAAGAAGAAGAAGAACTCAAGGCCGACGAGACTTGTCCACTTTCACCGGTAGCCGGAGTATACACCGTAACGTTATAATTCACAACAGCATCTCCGCTCGTGGTGTTAAACGTCACCGTTTTCAACACCGCATACCCACGCGCCATCCTGAACATCCCCGTGCCGCCCAGCACGGGAAGCTCCCGGGTCGGGTTCATGACCATGTTTTTACCCATCACGCTCAGTGAGCTGCCGTTGTAGGGCCCGTCGGTGAAGCCCAAGCTTATGGACATGACGATCGCGGACTCGTTCCGGCTCGAGAAGGTGTACATCCCTTGGGCCCGGCCCACGAGCTTCGAGCCCGCGTCGGCGGTCTCCGTCAGTGGGTCGTCGACCATCACGACGGCGCCGAAGAAGGAGTTGGAGTCGGACGCGTTGGCGACCGGCTTGACGATCTGTACGGCGGTCGGGTTGCTGCCGCTGGGGGTGTCGTGGAAGTAGAACTGGAGGTTGGTTACGGTGTCCGGTCCGGTTCCCGAGTCGAGCCGTTTGGCCCATCTGACCGGTGGTTGTTGGGCTTGGGCGTATTGGGTTGAGAAGGCCATGGAAATGGTGAGCAGGATGGTCAAACGTATTATTAGTCTGGACATTTTGGAAAAGAGGGGGAAGGTAAGGAAGAAATGGAGTTATTAGAGCATCTCCATTGGAATTGTAATTAGAATTGCATAATGACATGGCATTCATTTGCAATTGCATAATGCAATTGCATTGATGTAGATGACAATTGCATCTTTGCAAGCTTGCATATAATGCAATTATGGAATTCAAGCCACATCATCTTTTTTATTATTAAATTATTCATTAATTTTATTATTTGAGTGTTTATGTTTTAATAAATTAAATCAAAAAATTAGTTGCAATTGCAAGTTAATTGCATTGATGTGGTGCAATGCAAGTAAGATGAGTTGGATTGCAAAAAAATGAAAGTAATAATAAAAAAAACAAATACAATTGCAAATGCCATTACACCAATGGAGATGCTCTTAAGGTAGAGTGAGTTTAATTAGGAGATTTATAGGGAGGATTAGTGGGTAGGTATTGGGGTTATCTTCTTTTATTATTATTATATTATTATTATCAGAAAGTACTATTTATTTTGGGGCCTGGCCCTTGTGGAAGGCCCATTAAAGTATTCTAATACCGGGTTGGTTGGGCTTTTTCTTTAATGCCACGCTGGGCTACGATCTGGCACCCACTGCCATTCATGCAGTGACCAGACCAGACCACCCTCTCATTTTCCTCCATCGAGCTGCCTGTGATTTTTTTCTTCTTCTATGGTACTGATTTTGTGAGGTGATTGCATTGTGTGGTCATACATGCAGGGCCGTCCCATGATATTAGGAGGCCCTGTTCGAAAATTTAAAATGTGGCCCTAAAAATTTTTTCCCGCAAATTTATTAAAAAATAAAAATTATTAAAAAAGTTGCATAAGCTCGGAAAATGATTACAAGAGGAATAATTGATCACGTTTCTAGTTTGACCAAGAAACCAATACCAAATTCCCAGTCCTAGTAGGGAGGGAAGTAAAGCTGGAGGGAAGAGAAAATAGATATAGCGCAAAAATTGAATAGAGAAATGAAAATAGTCTAAATTGATCGCGAGAGGTGTGTACGGGGTTGTCTAATAGATCGTGGAGGCCATGTTCCAAAATTGAGACGTGATCCAAATTGAGTTTTAACTATAATAAAACTAAAATGATTATATTACCATTATTCAACATGTAATATCTTTCTATATGGTTTAAACTAAAATTATCTATTATCTCTATGATTTTCATAGTCTTAATGAGATCATTTTTATTTGTTATTATAGCTAAAATTATCTATTAAACTCGTCATCATACTCATAATCAATCAATCATACACTAAAAATACAACCTACAATATACGATCGGTAACTAACTTATCTAAGTGGAGGCCCCAAATATTCGGAGGCCCTGTGCCGGAGGGCGGGCCAGCACACCCTCTAGGCCGGCCCTGCATACATGCGGTTGCGATTCACACCGCACCAAATTGTTAACTTATGTGATTCGGTTAGACAATGTTAATTATCTTGCGGTCTTAATACGATGCGGTTCAATTACTTTTCGGTGCGGTATCGTCTATATCAACGTGGTGTGGTGTGATGCGACGCGGTTTGAACCATATGAATGCCCACCCCTAGATAATACCTTCATTAGAAAGGTCAATGGAACCAACCTGGTTATGCGTGTGGTTGTAGCGATGACAATACCAAGTTTATGGTTGTTTAATTTACTGTTAGTCAACTATTAAGGGATATTATATTTTATTTTCATTAAATAAGAGCTTTTATAATAGAATAACATTATCTTTATTTTCAAGGGATATAATATCGACTAGATCTCGTAGCCGCCTCCGCACGGGGCACTACAAAAAAAAGAGGCTTCAACGAGGGGGGGAAACGGTCGTTACATGTCAAAAAACGGTCGGGAAAAGTCATTCACGACGGGATAGGACCCCTCATTATAGGCTTGGCCGTTAAAAGTCAATAACGACGGTAAAACACCACCCGGTCGTTAAAAGCTTTAACGAGAGTAGTCTTTTCCGGTCGTTAAATATTAATTTTCCCCACCTAGATTTGTAAGCATTAACAACATGATTACCCTCAATAATATGTTACCTAGTATGTAATTTCCTATCCTTATCGACACTAAAAGCATCCCAACTCCTCTGCTCATTGAGGAAAGATACGATCATAGAAAATGCCCATAACAATTACTACTGTTAATATTCACCATTTGAAATCTGATCTCAATAACGAGTATATAATTGTCAAGGAGTACAACATGTTTGTGCTTAGGCTTTAGTAAAATAAAAGGCAAAAGTAATATGGATTCTGGACTCTTAATATATATATATATATACAAGCTATATATAGTATAATACAAATGAGATATACTCATTAGCTTTCTTAGTGGCCACAACAATCATATCCTTTCTTCAGCTTCAAGAAACACTCTTCTTTGACCCGTTTGGTCTTGACTATGTCGTTCCAAGTCCTTGCTGGAGAAATTAGAATAGAGTGATGTTATTCAATAACTTACAGAAGTTGAGAAGAAGAAACCATTCACCCATAATTCACAGTAGCAACACCACCAATAATATACTCTTTGCTAAACGCAAACACCTAGCAAAGCCCAACTTGAACAACCACCATAAACAGACCCAAAAAAAGCAGCAGAGCAACTGCTAGTTGTCCATTTACCACCCACCATAAACAGACCACCAACAAGCAGCGAAGAAACTTGAACAACCACCACAAACAGACCAACATCAAAACATAAAGTAGACAACACCAACCTGCATCCTCTGATGATGAAAGCCAAAAAAATGCAAAACTGGATGCCATACAGAGCACAACAGCAGCAACAAACAGGAGACAACGTATCCTCTGAGCCACCATATGCCCTTCCCCATTATGTCTAATTATTGATCGCTTAGCATTCAAAATAGGACAATGGTCTAATATCACAAACAAATCTCAAATGCCCTTGAACTAAAATCACAATTTCTTAAATGGAGATAATAACACTAAGAAACAAAAGATTACCTTTTGGGATGATATTGTTGAATGATTAATCTCATCTTTCTCACAAGCCAGCCGAGAATCACTTCTACAGGCTGAAAGAAAATATCAAAGAAGAATCAAATGGAAGTAGCAATTTCCCCTGACTCTCAAACTTTCAGATCTGCCACATGCACCCTAGATCTCAATCTCGAAGGCAAAGTTACGCATATAACAAAGAAGAACGCATACCACATGAAGTTAAAAGTTCCTAACAAGTTCAAGCTGTGGAGGATTTTGAACCCTTCATCCTCGGGCGAAGTGGAGTGGCTGGAGCAACAAAAGCTTCCTCCTCGATGCAGCCAACCACGTCCGCAGCCTCCTCGGTCGAAATCGTGTCGTAGCGTTTGGAGAGGACAGAGGGAGTGGGCAAGGTCTCGATTAGGTGAGAAATCACGGCGTCGCGGTTGCGCTGTGGAGGGGCCAAATGCTGAGATTGCTGCTTCTGGGTGGTGTTGAGGCTGGTGGCACCATCATCTTGTATTCCGATTGCTTCGGCGGTGGGGTGGTTATGGATCGTCGGCTGTAGAGCGGTGGCGGTTCCGTCGGAATCGGTCATTCTCCAGAGAGCGGCGTATAATGCTCTAGAGAGAGTGAATGGAAAGGGTGAGCTTTTTCATCAAAGGAAGAACTGAAGAAGCATAGAGAAACCACTTCGTAATTCGTATATGAAAAGGCAGACTTTCCTTTTAACTTTACCAAATACCAATTGGGTTTTTTAAAGGGTTCAAAGTTCAAACCCATTCTTTTGTGGGTGCACGAAAAAAAGGCCCGGGAAACGAAAAATAATTTGGCGGACTCACAGGAGGCAAAATTTTCAATACCATTTACGAGGGGATGGTTTTGTCGTTATATATGTGTTATATCAATAACGAGGGTAGATTGACATCTTTGACGAGGGGGAAAATGTGACCCTCAGTAAAAGATGACCCATACAAATTTTATGCCTCTAACGATGGGATTTGATCCTCTCGTCAGTTTTTCCGGTCGTTATAGCCAACTTTTTTTGTAGTGGGGACATGTGACATACTTGTAAGTTGCTAGTTGTTAATTATATTCTTGTTTTTAGAAATCGGGGACATGTGACATACTTGTAAGTTGCTAGTTGTTAATTATATTCTTGTTTTTAGAAATCGGGGACATGTACATGTCACTATAAATAATAACCAGAATTTCAACTGTAGCAATTAATTTTAACATAATCGAAGTAAGCAGAATTAGTATCCGAACTCTTAAGGAAAAATCATTACTGATAGTCCATGATCATACATATTGATAAAATCAAACCATTCTTTATGTGACGAATGGAGGGATCGATTGAGAAAATCATAACGGTACATAAAAACTTAAAAAGAAAACGTGTATAATAACCAACTAGCTTATTACCCGACCCGTTGGCCGGATTACTGTATGTTACCCACTTGTGGAATGGGAGAGAAAGCAAGTGAGAGTGAAGGGATTGGGATTCCACTTGATTAGGACTGACCCACTAATCCAATTCTTCCCGACCCGCCCCAACCTAAAGGGTCAGAAAGAGTCAATAAGAAAATACGAACGGGGAGGATTAGTCATATATCTTGACTCTTCAGAAGTGGGTCAAACAGGATCAAGGTTGGGTGAGGGCAATTTTTAGCGCTAAGCAGAGTTCTGGGTTGAATACCTTTACTTAGGCCTAGAAATTGGTTCTGATGCAGACTGCAGTTTTTATTATACCATCATCAATCATCATTGAATTAGTCTTGGGCATCCCTCCCCGTTGTCGGTCTAAATTCTAATGATGGCTTCATTCCTTGCACCAGCCATATCAGCGAGTTGCCATCTCGAGCATGATTTGCCTATGTACAAATAATACAATTAGAGTATGAAAATGAATTCAAAGAAAAGGAAAAGAGAATTCTATCACATGCCAATAAATACACACATAATAGTTGAAGCTAAGTGAAAGTCATTACTCGCACAT